TCTTCACTCTGTCATATGATAATCTTTTTGCTTGAGAACAAATATTTGTGGTCAAAGCAACTGTCATCACAAGGTGTAGTTTGTTTTGAGACCAGTTAAACAAAAAGTGTTGTTGGAACATGTTGTAAAAAGCCAGTATGTTTAGTATCCAGTCAGGAAATGAAACATATTTTGTAAGGCTGACTTTTTATGACTTTTTTTCCCCCTTCCACTAATCATCTGGAGACCCTTTAATTTACAAACCTTTTGTTGGTTTTGCTCCTACAAGACTTGCTATAAATAAAGAGAAATTAAAGTGAAGTCAGCTCTGCTTCTCTTTTTGCTGTACCGACTCTCTTTAAGATCCCTGAGAACAATATCCCAGTCTTTTGAGATGCATTTATCATATACATTGAGATGATGATAGCAAAGCAACATATTGTGTACCATGTTGAATGCGGTTTGATGACTTTTCCACAACTAATTCAGTGGTCATAGTTGTGTACAAGTAAATACAGTAAGTCACAGACTGTGCATAAACAGGAATGGATCTCGACTAGCCCCCCGGTCTGTCTGTCCTCCTGTCATTCAGACTATGTTTAGGGCTACCTATGCTGCCTCACAAGTATGTGGCGATGCTGGGATAGTACCCTGCTGAAGTTTTCCTGTCCTAAATGAGACAAATGTTCAACTGAGAATGTGCATACGTATCAGAACAGAGCGAGCTGTTCCTAGCACCAGGTCACATGGTCCGGCTGGGTTGCAGCTGTAAGGAAATATTGAAGTTAGAAGTGTTTCATAAAGATTTCATCTTTATCGAGTACTCGATGATTTACATCATGTTATGTTTCATACTGGTGACTAACAACGGAGTGTGGTCACTCTTGATGAGTTTTCTTTCATGTGTGTTCAGGCTGGTGTGAAGGGAAAGCTTGGCAGACTACTTGGGATTTTTGAGGTAAGCTTGTCAGACTATAGAAAAATTGTAATAAACTCTCACAGGGCATAAAATACATTATATAATTCAGTATAAAATCCTGTATCACTTTAGCTAGTAACCATGATATAACGCCAATGTATGCTTCATGCTTTTTGTGCCAGTCCAATTTTACATGTTTAGTATGTCGAGACATCTCTGCAGCTCCACCATACTTTTAATTCAGAATCATATTTTGACACATATTTTGCCTCCAAAAGATACTAAATTTGGAATTTGCACTATTCCATATTGGGATTAATATTCAGATTACTTTTGCAGCCCTAGTTAATATTACATATTTTATTGTTTATGACAGCTTGGCTGGCATTGCGTTAACGTTTATTTCTGTCCTTTTATATAGTGTCATTTAAAGTTCCTTTTACTCTTTGCAGCAGAATAAAGACAGTAAGCACAGGACATACGTCTACACCCTCATTGTGACGGAAACACTGGAAGACTGGGAGGACTCGGTCAAGATTGGTAGGAATCCACGTTTAAGTCTCTCTTTTTCATTGTATTACTGATAACTGATAAATAAATGATGTTGCAAATATTTACCTAGATACCAAGCCTTTTGCAAAAAAGTATTAAAACAAAAAGCATTTCATTTAGGGTATCAAACCCCCTACAAATTTGGGTTGGCAAATTTGAATATATTTGTATTTTATTTCATTACACCAATGACATTTCTGTGCACAATCATAATTCACAAGATATTCTGACTCTCAATCAAATTCTTAGATTTTGATGTCTCTTTGAGGATAAGGACTGTTGAGAATGACCGCTGGGGCCTCTTTTGTAAACTGAGAAACTGAGACACATACTTGGCTTTGAAGTCAAACCATCCGATCTACTGTGTTCACTGTCCCAAAATACTGACAGAAAGAATTGAGCAACAACTAGTCTTCCTAAATGGATAACCACTGCATGTGTGCTTCATTACTATTTGTTTTAAACGTGTATTACATTTCAAATTATATGCAACTCAAAACTGTAGCTTTTACTAACTTTTGCCCATATAACTACAGTTCACCAGGGGAGGGGTGTTTTCTGTGCACAGTTGTTTTTCAGTTCAAATTCAAAAGCTTTTATTGTCATTGTGCAGAATACAGCAAGATTTATAGTTACTGCTCCAGCAAGTGCTTTAAAAACAGACATATTAAAAAACAGATTAAAAGGTCTGACAGTTACGACCAGCAAGTAGTGCACACAGCTTCGGATCGTCATGTAGATGACCAGGATTAATAAATGAATAAAATAGAATTATGATAAAAATATATATGATAAATATTACAGTATATACATAGAGACAGACCATGGTTATTGCACAGTGGGGATATGGGAAGTTATTTTTGTGTGTTTTAATGTTATTAAATCACTAACTCAGAGTTATCATCACTCTTCACTGCCCCCTCCTTATTGTCCTCTGTTGCACTGCATGTTTAATTTTTTCTCCCCCCCTCCACTGAGAGGCCAGTGTTGGCGTACCTCAGGGTGTCAACATATAGTGGTTGACCCCTGCCCCTCCCTCTCACGCCACCCTATGATAATCACAGGCCATGTACAATTCCTTGTTTGAGGAGTACAATTAGAGGAGATGATGGGTTTGAAGCTAAAGTATAAATAACTCCCAGCTGACAGTTTACTGGACACGTTGTTTTATTGGAAGGTGCTTTTTTTGGAAGGTTTGGTGACATGGGGTCTTCATAAACATCAACTAAAGGTCAGGAATGTACATTTCCACTCTGACTTCAGTGCTGCAACATGTGATGGAGAGTTTACCCTTGACCATGTTGTATGACGTAATGGTTTGGCAATTTAAGGTTATTTTGCCTATTGAGCAAGCTTCCTTACCACTCCGGTACAGTCTTACAGTAGCACTGCTAGTGAGTTTTATTATATAAACAAGGTAAATATATGTAAAATAATTATTATTTTATTATTCATTTATCTGGCGATTGTTTTCTCAATTTCCTTAAGGCAGTGTCTTTGTTTTGTCAGTCTAAAACACCAAATTAAAAGAAAATCTATTTGAGGGCTTTTTTCTGCAATTCCTTTCTGAGGGATTACTTTTAAAATTAATCAAATTTTAAAATAATTACTGATTATATTTCCATCCTTTTAATTTATTAGATGGCTCTACGTAATACTACTAGGTCTTGGGTTTAATCCCAACAACACCAACCATTAGGTATAATCCATATTTGTTGACAAACTGTCCTTGAGCACATCACACTTCTGCCTGTTGATTGGTCCTTGTCTTTCCCATGTTTCACAGGACGGAAGAGGAAGTGGTTCAACGTTGACGAAGCCATTAGAGTGCTGCAGAGCCACAAGCCTGTCCATGCAGAGTACCTTCGCAGGCTCACACACACCTGCGGCCCGGTGTGTAGCCAGAATAACAGCAACACCCCGAGCTCCCAAGTGACACACAACAACACGCCTCATTATGTTGCTCAGATCTAGCCGGCAGAAAGGACAATCACCAGCAGCAAGCCAGTTGTTCTACACTGGGATGGACATCCGGCCAAGACCTCTGCAGTGATTGCATCACTAACGAAGCCTCTTAATATGTACAGTATGGACTTCCTTGAAGTTGAATTTGAAACTCATTTTGAGGTAGTGCCAAAATGTTTTCCAACCATATTTAAGATTTTACATGTATTTTTTTTTTATTAACCATCAACAGCTATTTGAGCAAATGTGTCCTTTTTAAAGCGTTCAGCTTTAGACAGTTTTTCTGATTGTGCTGCTCATGCAATGTGAATTTCTGTTTCGGCTATATTGCTGAATATTTGACCAGCAGTGCACACAAGTATTTGGGTGGTCTTAATGGGAAGCGTTTGCTCTTTGAGGATATCATATCCACAGAGACTCAGTGCCAAAACATGTGTATAAATTAAATGGCAAGGTTCAGTTTCTTTTTTAAATGTTTAGACACTTTAAGGCAGTACAACTGAGCTCACCTCAGTATAAGTCAAGTCTTGTGAGGTAGTTTGCCTAAAGAGAGCTGAGGGCTGAGTCTGATTTGATACAATAAGTGTGAAAAAAAGCTTGCTCCTCCTATATTCACAAATGTACACGTAGGCCTACTGTACACACAGTATTATCTCTAATCACTGGTAACAGCGTAACACTGTAATAAAGATTAGGTGAATATCTGCAAACCAGCCACCATAATGAAATGCAGATGTCAATAGTTCCTTCTCAGACAAATCTTAAAGTAGTTCAAATGAATGTTGTTGGAATGAGAAGCAATTCATACAGTTATAGAAATGTAAAGTCACCATATTCAAAACGTGTATTTCCCAAAGAAAGAAAGAAAGTATTTATCACATACTGTATCTTTCAAGAAATAATACTTATCTGCATGAGACACTATTATTAAGGGCATTTGACAAATGTGAAGTCCTGTCTGGGAGGGTTTTAAACTTTTAACGCATATTTACAGTGTGCTTTACTCTGATTCTTCTAAGTGCCTTAAACAATTGTACATTGTGTTTGGTTTTTAGATACTGCACACACACACACACAAGTGTCTGAACCAGCCTCTCATTTATCTCAGCTGTGGTTAGGTTTAAACAATAGGATGTTGAAGGAAACATGGAAATGTTGTTACAATTGAATGTGCAGTATTTAGTATGAATTGATTGCATTTATTTATTTATGTTTAATAGGGAAATACCCCCTCCCGTCATAAACAGGAAATTATGACAGGAATCATGACAGGAAGTCATGGTCAGTGTGCCGACGTGTTTTTGTCGACACCACAGAAAGAGATGAATGCAGTTTATTTTCAAGAACTGGCTCTTTTATTTAGTGAGCATGAGGAGGATCAGTGATAAGCCTTTTTTTCTATGTGTGTATGTGTGATTGGAATATTTTTGCAATTATGCTGTATATAAAACATTTAAATAAAAAAACGTCTATTCATCCCCATTGCCACAGTGTGTTTATCAGAGCAGTATATGAGGAACTGAGTTATAGTCTTGAATATAGCCAGGCTGTGTCCTGCTTCACCATCCTCTCCATGACCCGCCCATTCGCCGCCGCTGCCTGAGCTCAGTCAGGTGCTCGTTATCCAGCGACGTAAACTTTCCATTTGGAAAACTGATTGGATTTAGTGTCAGGACAAACACAGTTGAGGCCATGCTAAGACGGATCCTTCAAATGGTAAGAGTTTTGTTCAACAAAGTCAACCGTAACGCTTTTGTTTGGATAACTGAGTCATTTTTCGTAGGAGACACAGGCCTATCCTTGTCTATTTTCATGGTGGGCCTGCACGTTTTACAACACAGTGTGTGATGGGTGGGCGGCTTTTGTATTTGTAGCCAACAGGAGTTCTTCAATTGGAATAAGCCCCGCCACACTGTCAGAACGAAGTTGTCATATCAAGCGCTCCTTGTGTGGGGTTGACAGAGCTAGCCTTCAAAATGCTAACTTGGTACGCTTGGTTGATGCTACTATTGACATGGTCGTAGCAAGCTATTACTATGTCTATGTAATGCAGTAGCAACCTATATAGCGTATGTGTCCGTCTTACCAGGATTTGACGAGTTATAAATAACTAGCTAACATGCTTGGGCTCTGGTTAATTTTATTTTCATGGTTTCCGTTAGCTAGCTTTGTGATGGCAGTGCATCATGTCATTTCCACTCATTACATGCTAGCGCTGACGTTAGCCTCAAGCTGACCGCTACATGTAACACAATGTATCCCTTTTAAGTTATAAAGCTTGTAATCAATGTCAATGGTGACATGTTTTGTCTTAAACACAAATTACCAGCTTGTCACAGCCTTCACATGTATGAGTTACAGAGGTTAGCTACTTGGCTAGCTTTTACTTAGGACTACATTTACCACCAGGGCATTGCTAAAGCTAACTGCATCATTGTGTACACTCTGAAGACCTTGTAATGCTCTTAAGTCTGTGATATAAAGTTACATTCTAAGGAATTATGTTGCAAACGTTTAGGAAATAAAACAAGATAAGGTTTTATATTGAATTAATGTTTCGTTCTGTTACCTCATTACATAAACCTAGCAGTATTTTGTCAGTTATTCAAACCGTGTAGCTAACACCAAAGTCATTAAAATGGCTTTAGGGGCCTGTAGGAAAACATCTGATTAAAGATTTCCATTCTAATGTTTTACATCTGTCCTTCATGTGAAAAAGTTGGTGAACCTCTGACTTGGTTCATAAAATGGAGTGTCAGTTATGGGAACTGACCATAGGAACTGACACTCCTCAAAATGTAGGTCACGTTCTCAAGATAATGATGACAATATTTTTTGAATTTTTTACTGACGCTTGTCAGAGCCATCACCTTTGACCATAATTTGTTAATCTTTTTACAGTACTGATTATGAAGATGTATGTGCTTTATGGTGTATTACGTTGACATAAATAATGTTGTGAGTCTATATTATATAATGAACCCTTAAAGTGGTTAAGACCTCATTTAGGTTGCTGTGTTGAATTAATTATTTTAAAGTGGTGAAGTCGGCCTAGTTCTGATTTTTGTGTGAGTTGGGTCAAAGGTTGTTCCATGATGCAAATGCTCAGCCTGCCTTCAAAGTGGTGTTTGTCTACTGTCCAATAGGCTCTTAGAAAACTCAGTTCAAAGGGCTCAAAGTCCCCGTCCCTACTCTCAAACCCAAGTATTCACCTGATTCATTCATGCAGACTATCACCAGCCACAGCAAAAACCTTTTCGTGAATGGACCACCATTGACACTTCTACTATATGTGTGGGCTTCAGGCCAGTGGACTGAGCTGATTTGATATGACCCTATTCCTTTCTACCTTCAAACTATGTGAAGAGTAGAGTAAAATAGTAATCGACAGGTAATATACACAAATATACAAAGCCAGTATATTTTAAGGTCAAATAATTGCAACGGTATATGAAACTGAGAACGTCTGTGGTTAATTACACAGTTATCTGAAAAACCCTATTACTGGTTGGTTAATTTTCTTCCAAAAACGTTATTGTCAAAGCAATATAACTTCGCAAACATTTACAATAAGGTTATTTGTGGAAAGCAGGCAGGTAATGTAAGGTCAAGGATACAAGAACATTACCAAGGCAGTGAATATCCTTATTGCAAGCTCAATCATAAAAAAAAAACTCTTGCTTTGTCCTGACATACAGCTAAGAGTTTAACAATAGCTAGGCCGACCAGAGGCCTGTGGACACACAGATGGGAGGCACTTTGCAAGCTTTTGCTGGGCTGCTGGAAAATACCCTCATATGACATCTTGGCTAGTGTTGGCCAGACGTTGTGGGAGACACAATGAAAGAAGGTTCTATGGTCGGATGTGAACTAAATAGAGCATTTAGCTGTCCTAAATGTTTGGTACCAAGCCAAACCGTGCACATCACCAGACCCTTACCATCCCTAACACAAAGCATGGGGGTGGCAGAATCATGCTTTGTGGATGCTGGGAGGCAGGGCTGTGATGGTACTGGGAAATGACAAAAAAAGGTAGCTGTTGCTAAACAATAATTTATGTGTGGCATTGCCAAATAATAGTCCAGACCTTTATCCAAAACTGCTACATATCTATGCAACGTGACAGATCTTTTTCAAAGATTGACCATACATGTAGTCCAGATTCAATCCTGGAAAAAATAAAATTCCAAGGTGCTGAATACATTTTACAAACATTATACAGCAGCAGTCACCACACATTACAGTGTTGTTAATCATGTTACAACTGTCTTTAACATTCATGCCTTTTTAAAGGGAAAAATGCAACAGCATTCCAGGGTAGAGCTAATTGTTTACATAACATTTGTTGAAGGCTTAAGTCGCACCCAGCAGAGTTGTTTTTGAGATGTGTAAGCCATGACTCTGTCCGAGCCTTGCCCTCTTTTCTGAAAAGTCGGTACTTTCCCAAAATCAATTAAAGTTAAGTAGATCTAGCATTTACCAAAACATTGCAGGTGAAAAGCACAAACATCAAAAACAGGGGTGTGTAAGCTAGAGGTTTTCAATTGTGTTTCTGAGAAAAACCTCTTCCAAGATGGATAATATACAAAATACATGTATTGTATAATTGTACTATATAACATATTTTTATTTACATCATGATTACTAAATAAATCTGAAAAAAGTTTCAATGTCTCGAATATAGTTTGTCAATTTGAGAGGGCAAAGGTAATCGTAGGGAATAAAATGTAAGGTAGTTGAGTTATCTAAAAAATATTGAGTGTGTTTTAATACATTCAGACTAATATAGTGTATTCTCTCCTCTCCAGACTCCTGGGAAGGGAGGCTCCCAGAACGCAGAGTCGGAGCCGCCCAGCACAGACCTGAACCACGATCAGACGTCTGAGGTAACGCTGGACTTTCATTTATCAATAACCTTTTTCTAAACTTTGGAAGCAGACCGAAACACTTGAAGAAGTCATTGTCACATGGTTCAGTCTGATGTTGTGTTTCCGCTTTTCAGGGCTTCATCTGTCCTCAGTGCATGAAGTCTCACAACTCAGCAGAGGAGCTGTTCAAGCACTATGAGCTGTTCCATGATACCGGAGACCTACCCTCTAACATGGCCCCAACTCGGTGAGACTTTAATGTTACATTTATTATGACAATAAGCTCAACCTCATGATGACACATTTTTTGAGTTTATGCATTTTTGTAAACAAGCCTCTCCTTCTTGTAGGGAGGACCTTACGATGCTTCGGCAGGAGGTTCAGGACCTGCATTGTTCTCTTAAGGTAAGCTGGAGTCTCTGAAACAAACAGATGTGTACATTTTAATGTTAAATACATACTTTATTTTGTATCTGTGTGTTGTTGTACCTGATTAGGAGGAAAAGTGGTTTGCCGAAGAACTCAAGAAGGAGTTAGGCAAAGTCCAAGGACAACTGAAGCAAGTAATTCCTTCAAGATATTTAAGATTTATTACAATGGCTCTCTGAATATAAAACTGCTTGATAGAACATGATGGAAATGCTTACTCTTACTGTACATTTTTCTCTCTTACTCTCAATTCCACAGAATGATGGACAGATGCCGGGCTCTGAGGATTTAGGTAGGGGGACATTTTCTGTTTAAGATAACTGGAGAAAAAAAATCCCAAACATCAATCACTTATATCTGGTGCTCTTTTCTCAGCGCTTGAAAAGAAGCTGAACGAAGCAGAGACAGAAAAGTTCAACATCAAGCAGATGAAAGACCTGTTTGAGCAGAAGGCTACGCAGCTGGCCACAGAGATAGTAGGTTAGTGTGGCGCCAGAAAACTGAAAGGCCTGTGTCTCCGAATCTGCATCATCCAACAACACTGAAGAACTCTTTCACTAACCCACTGTTATATCTGCTCAATCCATCCATTGTGTTTCTTCTGAAGTAGTTTATTCAACATTTAGTTTTACAGAGTCGATGCAGGGTTTTGCATTTTCTGCTGATATGTTTTATCCTCACATGAGTTAACAAGTGAGGTATTTGTGTTATTTTAATTATGATAGTATTAATTACTAAAAATGGTTTGTTCTGACAGACTTGAAGTCCCGCTATGATGAGGAGAAGAGTCTGAGGGAGGCTGCTGACCAGAGACTGGGCCGACTGACCGAACAGCTTCAGAAGGAGAAGCAGGAGAACGAGAGACTCCAAACAGAACTGGTACAGAACACACTTCATCAGTGTTGTGCTCCGGAGAGAAAGAAAGACATTGAATTGACACCATGAAATCGGTTTGGCTTTCAGATGTGTGCTGAAGGAATCAAAGCAGATCTAAATCCGACAAAACTTTAGTTCAGTTATTGCAAGGATAGCCATAAGTAGGTCTGAAAAATGTAAGATGTATCTAACTGCGCTTATTTTGACTATTGTTATTACATTTTGATTTGCCATATTGGGAAGAAGTGATTATTCTAATTTCTTTTTGAAAAACAAAGGCAAATGGTCATTGTGTGGTTTTTATAACAGTCATACAAAATACTTTTTAGAAAATAATCTGATAGCCAAGACATCTCTGCATTATGATCATTCAAAATAGTGTTTTGGAATAGTGCAATCTCATCTCATAGCCCCCCCCCCCCTAATGTTACAATTATTCTTTGTTCCCTGGTGATATAGACCCAAAGTGATGGCGGAAAGTAATGTACCTGTACTCTAAAGGAGAGTTGTCTAGTTTCACTTTTTCTTTGTCATCTGTCTTTATATTCTTATTTTACTACTCTCAGTGGTTCAGAGAGGCTTCATACTAATATACGTTATAGATCTTCAAGGAGACGTCCATATAGATTTGCATTGTTCAGCTATTATTAAGGATCTCGTTCTGATTTATATTAATACCAAAAGCCTGATGTGTCCACACTGTCTTCCACTCAGTTCTCCCAGCTTTAATCTGGTCCTCTGCTCTGCCCCCTAGCTGCAGCGGCCGGGAGTGGAGGACGTGGAGGTGCTGCAGAAGGAGCTGGTGCAGGTCCAGACCCTGATGGGCAGTTCCACCCGTGAGAGGGAGGAGGAGTCTGAGCGCCTCAAGACCCAGTACCAGCAGCTGCAGGCTAACCACACTACCTCTGAGGTGAGGGGACAAAACACACAACGTCTTGAGATGTACTTCTGCTCAATCTCACTTAAACTTTTTACCTGATGTGTTGCAGAATAACCTCCCGTTGAACCCTAAATTGAACAGTCGCATAAACGTGCACATTAATTCCCACAGTTTGCTTGATAATCTACAAGATTGTATTGTGTATGTAAAGTATAATTTAGTATTTCTAATTTGACCCCCTTTCCATTTAATCTAATTTCTTAAACCGACCAACTGCACTTGAAAAAGAAGCTCTGAAATAATCTTTAAAATAGTTTCCAACATACTGTAGGGAAAACACATATTTCTTATTCTTACTAAGTAATTCATGGTGAATAATTTAGCCTTACTTCTTGCATTTTTTATCCCAGAAGAATGAGAACATCTATAGAGAGCTTCAGGCCCGACCCTCTCCTTCTGCACATCTCTGCAAATGTTCTCATAGATAGTTTTGTGGAACCACATTCCTAAAATATTTGAAATGCATCCGTTTTTTCATTATGAGACAATCGTGGTTAATCATTAATTGTTGAGTTCCACAATATAAAAGTATTGGAGCTGATCGCAGTCAGCTGTTATTCTCAAGGTTGGCCAGAGACAAGTCAACTTTTAAATTGAAAACATAAGGCTAATGCACCACCTTCCCCAGCAACAGCACATGAAGCCAACCATCTTTCGTACAAAATGGTCAGCTTAATACTTTCATAGCATAATAAACTCTCATCCAAGGAGCATCTCACTCTTTGTTACAGATTGGCCATTTGCAGTTCATGGATGGATCATAACTGACCTATTGTATGTCTCTCTCTCCCTCCCTTTGTCCTCCTCTCATACTGTATCCCTCCAAAACACTCACTATTTCTTCAAGATTCTTAAACTGGAGGTAAAATATTTGAAAAAACATTTCAATTTGGCCCTTCACTTACTTCTACATCTTTTTCAGTTCCTTTAAACTTAAAAAAAAAGTGAACAGATTTTCTTTTGACCCATGTGTAACCTTTCCATGCCTTCGTTGGGTTTTTGTGCGACTGAATTCTCGCTGTAACTTATCCATGTTAAGTTCTTCGTTCATGTCATTCCCTCACAGTGGTGCTTCAGTTATCTGAATGTGCAGTCTATTGTTTGCCGACTGTAACATACAGTATGTTTCTATTGTGTTGCAGATGACCATATCCCAACTAAAAGCAGAGCTGGAGAAGGGTCCCCAGGAAGCAGCTGTCTACACACAGCAGATCCACCAGCTGCAGAGCAATCTGAACAATCTGCAGCAGCAGAGCCAGGTACCACACAAACAAAGAATTATAATAAGCCTGTAGCATTCCTGTGAACACATTTTACTTGGAACTTCCAGTTGGACTTAAGGATGGTCTGATTAGAATTAGATTGAAAAGGGTCACTGGAACCACACAAATAAAAACGTGTGGCCAATACTCCATAATTCATAAGCCATTTATGACAAGTGATGACACTTTGGACAGAAATTGCTGTAAAATGTAACTCGAGTGGTTAGTGGAGGCACAGCATTGCTAGGAAGTAATTCTAGTCATAGTCATGTGACCGTTTTGTCTCTCAGCAGATTACTGCAGGTACATTGGGCTTATTCCAATTTGTTATATCTACGATTGAAGGGACTATTGACGGGATTATGAGGGATTATTAATCAGAGCAATTCATTTACTGATCTGCACCCTACTGTACATTTGGAGAGGTTTTCGGTGGAGCAGCCTGGAAACCCAAGGGTGAACAGTGGATTTCAAATCCTAAAAAATAATTTAAACATGTTGCCGTCTCTTGTTTTTTATATTATTTAGATTTTCATACAAAATACAACACTATTATATAAAAAAACAAACAAAGTGATTTTGTTAGAAAACTAGAAATATGATAAATAACATGTTTTGGCTCTTTATAAATGTTTTATTTACGTAACAATAACGGCATTGCTTGTAAAAAAAGTTAGACCGTTAGTTTATTTCAAATGTTCCATCAGACTCATGATGATGTTACTCTTGCACCCCCACCCCACCCCCCCCACCCTTACATACACTCTTGCGGCCCCTGTTGTCCATTAACCCTGATTGGATAACATGGAAATAGAAACAGCTCCATTATACAGCATATGACTGTGAAGGATTTACTTGTACTTCAGTGATGTTAATCAGCCTTCCCAGCTGCCCCTCTCTAGCACAGAGCACGCCTTCTCTGTTTCTGTGAACCCCCGTCTCTTGCTCGGCATCAGCTTCTATCACAATGCTCTGCTGTCACCAGCCTCATTAGGCAACTCAGACATGTTGATACTAAACCACGCGCAGCTCTATAATTAAACCAGCAGGGGGGGAACTCCGCTGTCACTTGGGGTGAAACACAATCACAGGTACCGGCACTGATCCAATGAGCCGGGGACTGGAGGCAGCGGGTTCCTGCCGGAGATGAAATCCTCCCACAGCTGGCATGTCACAGAGGTTTCTGGGTAAAAGGGGGATTACAGAACTGGATATCCAGTGTGTTGCCCCCTCCCAACGCTTCTCCTCGCAACAGGAGACCCTGAGACTTGAAACAGATACCAAACACGTGAGAAAAGTGATGGAGCAGACGGTGAGAGGATCAGGACTAAGAACAGACAGGTGAAAGACCAACAGGGGTTTCATTGGTCTGCATTAGAGAGACACAATGAAAGAGCGGGTAGAACAGAGAGGAAGGAAAGAACAGGAAGTGTCTGTAGAGGGTTGTTTAGGTGTGCCAGTTGCTGTGGTGGCCTGCAGAGGTTTATTGGACGTCTGTGAAGTCCAGGTGTCCTGTCACACTCTATTAACACCATTTTGTTCTTTATCACCCTGTTTCCAAGTTTACTGCCTGAGCTTACAGCAGGGCCGGTGCTGTTCACACGCTACGTTATTCCCAGTCCTGTGTTGTAAACCTTTCCCCTAGAAATGCCATACCTCACTTTACAATAGACCGCCGACTGTTCTTTTCCATAGCTTACATTGCATGAATCATTTGTGACTCGTTGCATCCCCTATCATGCCAACTGTATTTTAATAGACAAGTCGTTACAGTGGCTTTTTGAAAGACCTCACTTTTCAAACACTGTCCATCTTTATCCTGAGAACCTGCTACCTTCAAAAACTAAGATTTCACTCACTTTTTATTTCTATTGTTACTTATGGCTTTTATTCCTACTTAGGAACATATTTCACTCCCATTACTTCCTAAAGTTCTGAACATCTGCCTCATGTTGTCCTCTCCTGTTTTTACAGAGCCTGTCTGAGAAGCTTCAACGTAAGGAGAAAGAGAACAAGGACCTGGAGGAGCGATTTGGAGCTGAGAAGGCTGCCAAGAAGGGTGCTCAAGGCAGCCTGAGAGAGAGGGAGCTGGAGGTTCAGGAGCTCCAGGCCCGGGCCACGGGGGCTGAAGCCTCCCTGCAGAAGGCCCAGGCGCAGCTGGGAGAGAGGGCTGAGGAGGTGGCAAAGCTGAAGAGTGAGATCACCGAGCTGGAGGTGAAGCACGCAGAGCTGAAGGTGGAGAGGAAACAGTTGGAGCAGCAAAGGGAGGACAAAGACAGCCAAGGTGCTCAGCAGCAGACTGAGATCAGCCAGGTGAGCAGGGCGGACCATCACACACAGTACATGCAGGAGAAGAAGAACTCTACTGTCATAACTGTTCAGAAAACACCAAGCATTTAGGCACACGTGTTATTTAGTAATGTGTTAAAACAAAGTAAAAAATGATTCCAGACATCCTCCTTGTGTTTCCTACATCTGCTGTTACTGTTTCCATCTTTATTCGTCCATCTTCCTCATCTCCCCTCTCCCTGCGCTCTCTCTTAGCTGCATGCCAAACTGCTGGAGGCGGAGAGGCAGCTGGGCGAGGTGCAAGGTCGTCTGAAGGAACAGAGGCAGCTGTCTGGGGAGAAACTAAATGACCGCGAGCAGCAAGCCGCCGACCTGCAGCTCAAACTGTCCCGGGCAGAAGAACAGGTAGGCCTTACTGATCACTACAGGAAACTGACATACTGACAGAACATCTGGACATAAATGTTTTAAATGTTTGAGTGTGTGTCTTAAGGTATGCTGTAGGATCTGCATGTGTAGTTACTGACTGATAGTAAAGAGACAGGATGATGCACACATTAAAGTAATAATCCTTTGAGGTGAATAGGTTTGTGCTAATCAATGCTCTTCTTTGTTTCACACCTGTAGTTGAAGGAGAGTGCCAGTAAGAATACAGACATACAGCACCAGCTGGAGAAAGCTAAGCAGCAGCACACAGAGCTGCAGGCGCTGCAGCAAAACACCAACGGCAAACTGCGCGAGGCACAGGTTCTGTTCACAGGAAAACCCCTCACATATTATTATCAGAGGGCATAAACATCACCAGATCGCACTAAACACTATTCTGATACAGACATCAACAACACTTTTGTTCCTAATACAAACCTCCCACAAGACACAAATTAAACATTTCTACCAGACTCTCCTAATGTAATCGTTCTCTTATGCTGACTTGCCTTAATGCTGCAGAACGACCTGGAGCAGGTCCTGCGTCAGATCGGAGACAAGGACCAGAAGATCCAGAATCTGGAGGCTCTGCTGCAGAAGAGTAAGGACATTGTGACCCAGCTGGAGACCGAGAGGGAGGACCTGTGTGCCAAGATCCAGGCCGGAGAGGGAGAGACGGCTGTGCTCAACCAGCTGAAAGAGAAAAACCACGCACTACAAGAACAGGTATATGTAGTGTCACTCTGAAACCTGTAGATCTTCTATTAGCATCATATAGAAAGGCCAGTGTTATTGAACAGTAACCACAGGGGAATGTTGTTGAGCTTTTCTAAAACTGTTCTTTATATGTGGGTCTTAAAGGTCACACAGTTGACAGACAAGCTGAAGAACCAATCAGAGAGCAACAAGCAAGCCCAGGATAACCTCCATAAGCAGGTCCAGGAGCAGAAGACCCTGCTGCGCTGCGCCCAGGACCGAGCCCTCACCCTGGAGACCTCCGTCACCGAACTCACCGCCCACCTGGCTGACAGCAAGGAGAAGGTAGCCCAGCTGGATGCTCAGGTAAACCCCTTCAGAAGCACGCCTGAGCAATATGTATTCAACTACATACAGTGGTGTCTCTGTCTTTGACTTCACTCAAAGAATCTGTATGTTGTCAAACTGATTTTGAAAAGAGAATAACATTGTTTGTGCGCCTATCTTTCTTTAGCTGAAGGCAAAGACAGAGATGCTGCTGTCTACAGAGGCAGCCAAGGCTGCACAGAAAGCTAACCTGGAAAACAGCCTGGAGACGGCCCAGCATGCACTGCAGGACAAGCAGCAGGTTAGCACCTCCTTGTTGCCACTTTATGTCGGCTTTGAGCATATTTATTAATGCCTTACCAAATATTTGTTGTTTTCTTCTGTGTCCCCCCTCACTCACCTCACTCTTCCTTCTTGTATCCTGAACCCTCGCCCCTGTCGTGTGCAGGAGCTGAATAAAGTTCAGAAGAAGGTGGAGGAGCAAGCCCAAAAGCTTAAGGAGAGACAGGAGCAGGGCTCACAGCTGGACTCCAGTCTGAAGGAATGCAAAGACAAACTCCTGGCCTCAGAACAGCGTATAGAGCAGCTGGAGGCACTCAATAAGGTCTGTGATGATTCTTTATTGAGAGTACAGGATGTTAGACGGACACGTTGAGGCCTTAACTGTCCTCTCTCTGGTGTCCTCAGTCTACATACATTTCGGTTTTCAAAACTAATTTGGTGTTTTGATCCAAACACAGAAATTGGAGTCTCAGGTTGGGGAGGTGCAGGCCTCACGGGACCAGGTGCAGCAAGAAGTGCAGAAGCTGCTTAAGGAGGGGTCAGAGGTCAAACGGAAAGCAAAGGAGCTGCACCGCTCACTGGAGACGGAGAAAGCAGGGTGAGATCAAATCTACTGGTGCATAGTAGGGCTGTACCCGAATATTCGTTCGTTGGAGTACTATTCAGGTTTCAATTTAGTTTTTTTTAAAATTCGTTTTTATCTTATTTATTGAAATCTCCAATATCAACGTAAGAGCTTGTGCCTCTTCGGGGGGTGCTAACACTTAACCATAAACGTTATCGTTTACTTTCTCCGTCTTTATATGTAGATATTACTTTTTCTCCATTAATCTCCGTCACATTGTTTCCATAGCAACAACAACTTCCTGTCAACTGCGCTAACTCTCCTTGAAAATAAAAGCATGTCCATCCAAAATGGAAAGCCAAGCCAAATTACACTTAAGACATATACAACTGCAACGAAAGTAACAAACACAATGCGATATCCTTTTCAATTTCAAAGAACACAAATTGGGTTACATTACAACTATAAAACAACAATACTGTAGAATAACAAAAAGAATGCCGTGAATAAACCGAAATACACGTGTCGAAGCGGTTCGCTGCTGATTACTACACCCCCCCATGCAATGTGTGTAAATCAATTAGTTACTAACTCCCTTTGATTGTATTCAGTGCCGGTACAACCTCATGCTATTATTCACTTTTTCGTGATGAGTTCTAACAAGAAGACCTGTCTTTCCATTGTTTAGGGCTGCAACACTACAGGAGGAGTGGAAGAAAAATGCAGCTGCTTTGGGCGACGTTCAGCAGCAGCTGGAGCGCAGTGAGCAGGACAAAGCTGCTCTGCAGGTGAACCTGGACAAGGTGACCCAGGAGGGGAAGACTCAGCATGCAGATCTGGACAGGAGAGCTCAGAGCCTGACTGCAGACCTACAGAAGGCCCAGCAGGAGAAAGAGGCTCAGAAGAAGGAGCTTTCCTCAACACAGGAGAGCCTAGGAAAGGCTAAAAAAGCTCTGAAAGAGAGTCAGAGTCAACTGGACACGGAGAGGAAGAACCACAAGTCAGCCATGGAGGAGAGGGTAGGTTCAGAAAGAGCCTGTTTGGAGTAACATACTGCCAGCTTATTACCAGGACATTCACAACATGAATCTGTCTTAATCCCCAGGAGAAGGCCAATGAGAAGGCCAGACAGGAGCTTCTTAAGAGTAACGATGCCATCACCAAGGCAATGAAAGAATCTAAAGAGCAGTTGGAGCAGTCGGGAGAGGTAAGCGTCTGACAAAACGTTGCATCAAGTCTCATTGTTTTAGTTTTTTCTTTGAACCTGTCATGTGTCGACTACATTTCCAGGCAGAGAAAAAGTTGAAAGTGCAGCTGAGCACGTTGGAGCAGCAGCGCTCTAAGGCTCAGGGGACACTGACGGTGAAAGAGAAGGAGTTAGAGAAGCTGCGGGCTCAACTGAAGACAGCCCAGGGGTCCTTTGAGGAGGAGAGGAGGAAAATGAAGGCCCAAGTTGCAGAGTTACAAGAAAGTAATGTCAAGAAGGCAAGTAGAATTAAAAAAATACAGACATACTGTACTTATTTAACCACACAGCTGCACTTCCTGTACCTTGAGAGCAGAGATAAACACCGCATTGCCACAGGGTTCACTTGTTTATTTGACCCTTACCTCCAGGCAGAGGATGAGAGTACGTTGAGGGCGCAGGTGTCAGCGCTCGGCCAGGAGCTGGGCTCTGAGAGAGGTCGGACTACAGATCTGCAGAAGGGTTTGGAGCAAAACAAGGAGAGCCTCACTACGCTTCAGTCTGACTTCTACGGCAAGGAGTCGGAGGTGTCGGCCCTGCGCCAGGACATGAGGGTGGGTCCTGCAGGAAGGAAGGAGGGGGGGTACACACTGATCAGGCTCAACCTTCTGAACCCCCAAACCGTGATTTGCTCCCGTCACGTTTTACTCACTGTAGCCTCCTTTTTCACTGCAGTGTATAAATCAGACGCCCCATATGAAAACAGCACAATGATGAAATGAAGTAGGGAGGATTCAGTGAGGTCTTTGGTGTTTAGTAACAGTTATAAGGCCATCATTAATAGAAGACGTATACAATATTAAAACTATAAATACAAGTTGAACCATTTTCATAGTTTATTTTACACAAATAATGAAGACAAAATTAAGCTACATAAGCAAACATTTTGCAAGTGCTGATAAGCGTTTGCAAAATAAGGTCTCTACATTCTATACATATTGAACTATTGACATTTGTACAGCCTCTCCTGTCCTCTCTTGTCGGCTTGTTATGAACCGCCTGCAGTTATTGGACGCTTCACATAGTTTTCATCACATGACTTTTGGTCTCAGCCGAGGCAGTCATGGCTTACCAGTTGTTTCTTAAAGGGGACCTATCATGCAAAATGCACTTTTGTACGCCTTTTATACATGAATATGTGTCCCCGGTGTGTCAGGGAACTCACCAAGTGTCAGAAAACACAACCCTCTCTCTTTTCCTCCGTACCCAAATCTCTAAAAACGGGGCTGCAACGGATCTGATACAGACTGATCCAGATTTGAAATATCTCTGACGTCAGAAACGAGGAGCTCCGCCTATATGGGCAACTCTCCACCTATCAGGAGGAGACAGCCACGGCCATTGCCGTTCGAAAGCGCTGGAGACGCTGTAGTATATAAGCCAGGCCTGTAGGTGGCGCTGTAGTCTGCCACAAAAGCAGCGAAGAAGACTTCTCACAGAATCAGCCCTTGCAAAAACAGAGCTTGAAAAGAGCAAATAGAGCGAAATGAGGCATGATCTGTTTGGTATTTTGAAAAAAAGACTTCACAGACATGTTTTATATAGGTGTGGCCCTACAATATATTATTCAAATATAGCATGATAGGTCCACTTTAAGGTATCTGTTAAGGTATCCATATTTTAGGCTTTTATTCGTCTTTTCAAAACTGATGCATTTGTGACATGATTTGTTCAAGGACATTGTGAAATTTGAAAATGGACAATGATTCCTGTTTTCACAGCGTCTGGTTATGGTAAATTACGTATTTTATTAGTTGATTTAAGAGAAAGACAACATGCCTTTCTAACCCACCAGTCGGTTGTGGGGTTCAAGTTGTTAAGTAGAAATGTTGAATTAAGAAGCTGTTACTGTGGGTTAAACTTTGAACCAATCACAGATGGATTAAAGTAAGTATATGGATGCATGTTGATGATTCAGAACCATGTCCCTGCTGCTTCCTCTCCCCGCAGGCGTCGGAGGAGAAGCTGAGCGTGGCTCAGGAAGAGCTGGCTGCTAACCGGACCCATCAGAGCGGTTTAGAGACTCAGATCCAGGATCTGCAGACGGGCCGGGGCTCGCTGGAGAAGGAGCTGGCTCAACGGGACCAGAAGCTCCAACAGCAAGAACAAACCCTTAGCGAGCTTCAGCAGCAACAGGTCAGACCAACCGTTTCCCTCATATAGACATCAACTCTTATATTACTTACTGATTCAGTTTATATGTTCTAAATGGTGATTACTCCCCTATAGAGTCATGTAAAGGAGGAACTGGAGAAGGAGAGAAGCAAAGCAGAGGAGCTGAACAAAGCCAAGAGTGTCCTGGAGAAGAATAACACCAGACTGAGTTCGGAATTAAAAGCTCTCGCCGAGAAGAACGAGAAGGTCGGTCAACTTCTATCTTTCTTTTGATTTAGATGGTAGAGAGAGGCTAGAATATTCCTCAGATAAGCTCTAATAGTACAATGTATCTCTCTTACCGGCTGACGTGCCCTGCTTCCCATGCTTGCTCTTATGCAAACAGCTTTAATCAGGAATACTGCAGGTCATCTGGGACACATTCCTTAAAGTCATAACTGTGCTTCACTCAACTATTTGAAGTGAGCATCGGATTATTCCGGTCTTCAAAGATGTCTTTAAGATTGATCCGAAGCTGTTGTCAGAGCAATAACTTCCTGAGCTTAAAGCCTTTTAAAGTTTAAGCCCATGCGTGAAAAGAGACGCTATAAGGGCCTTTAACATCATCCAAACATTGTGCATGAAGCCTGATGCTCTGCTGCATTCAGGAGCTGGTAGAGCTGCGGGAAGCCAAACAGCTGTTGATCCAGCAGAAACTGGAGCTGCAGGGTCGGGTGGAGGCCGCACAGAAGACCCTGGTGAATGAGCAGAAAGAGCACAAGACCAGCCGGGACAGCAGGAGCCAGAGAGAGGAGCAGCTCCTCGCACAAACCAAGGGGGCCCAGGAGCAGTTGGTAGGCTCTAAAGCCCATCATTGAAATGTCATTCACTTCCTCTCCTGATCCATTTCTTGACTCGATCAATGCTTCCTCCCGCAGTCGGCGGAGAAGCGAGCCAGACAGGAGCAGGTGAAGCGCGGGGAGGAGGCGGAGGCTAAGATGGGGGTGCAGGTGACCGCTCTGAACGAGAACGTGGCCACGCTGAAGAGAGAGTGGCAGGGCAGCCAGCGCAGGGTGGGGGAGCTGGAGAAGCAGACGGACGAGCTGAGAGGAGAGATCGCCGTGCTGGAGGCCACGGTGCAGAACAACCAGGACGAGAGGAGGGCGCTGCTGGAGAGGTGAGGGGAATACATGAGACATCGTTTACAGAAGTTTTGGGATGTTCTTGATTGGCATTAAAACTCACTCAAATATGTAGAGTTATATCAGCAGGATTAAGGAATGTCTTTAATCTCTGTTTGGAAGCACTTCTGTCTGTTCTGCAGAGCTGGTGACGTGAATCAGCTTCTTGCAGATTCAACTGAAGAGATGCATTGCAGGGGTAGACATTAAGGGTACTGGCCCTCCAGTGCAATTTTATTATCACTGGCCCCACCATTGTAACCACTGGCCCGGAGCATTCGTCCAAAAAAATCTACTAATAATGAAGAAAATGAACCCATTTGTTGCAATATAGTAATGTATGCACAAACTACATTACTACTTGTACTACAACATTTGAATCATCAGTTCTTCCTCATTTTCCTCAATTGTTCATATTTGGTTTATTTATTGTGTTCATTGTTAAAACATTTCTGCTATTATCATTATTATGAGTATATTATTATTTGTATAATGCACTTTCTGCCTTCCTATCATTAGGAGTTAGAAATGTAATGGCTATGTAATAGATTAGATTAGAACCTTCATTATCCTAAACTGCTGGGACATTTCCCTATAGCCAATATACGTTTATGTTTTCTACTCTTCACTTACTTGTCAGCATAGGTCGGCATTGATGTATAGAGCTGACAAAATCATCATATTGAAGCCAACTCCATCGATCAAGCCAGTGTGGCTGAAACGTTCTCTTCCTCTTCTTCTCATGCTCCCTGTCACTCTCCTTTAACTCTTCCGGTGACATTCTTTTATTTGAAGATTGTTTTTTGCCCGAGCGGGCAAGTGGAAAGTACGTTATGCTGGCCCGGGGCGTCTAAATAGTGCTTCCGGGCCAGCGGGCCTTTTATGATGTCGAGCCCTGCATTGGTAATCTATGTTCAGAGTATTTCTGTAAAGCTGCTTTTTATGCGGAACATCCAGATTATTGAAACCATTTGCATCCAGAGCCGGCCGCAAAAGTCACCAGGATTATCTACGTTGGCATTTTTCAAGAATAAGCTTTTCTAAAGTATCACATGGCTTTAATACAGGAACTTGAATGATTGTATTTCGCCATCATGGTCCTAATGAGATATAAGATCTCTTCTTCAGGTGAGTGCAGGTCAAACCGGCAGCATGAGCCGTTTCACATTTAAAAAGAAAATGGCAATGACCTGAGCCAGGATTTTGTAAAATGTCAACACCTTCAGAGCAGTTTGTAAAGTACCCTTTAAGAAGGAAGTACTACTAAGGTCATAGTATTTTGCGTGTAATACTGTGCCCAGGGTGCATATAAAGATGAAGCAGTGTTGCCAAACTCTTAGTCGACTTGGGGACTTTTTTAAATAACCCCATTAGTAGATCTAGTGCTGTAGTTGCTGCGATGAAAGGATAACAGGCAGGAGATATAATACAATGGGTAGTTGGATAGTGTCATGCCACTTAATAGCTTGTGTATTTGTTGTGACATTTGAGTGTGATCCTACATTTGTTGGGAAGAGGTTTAATACAAATAGAAAAGAGCTTTGCACAGTTTTCTCTCAAATGGAAAGCATTATTTAAAAAAAAAAAAAAAAACCATCGCCTTTTTCTATTAATTATAAATATGCACATTTTAAAGTTAACTTTTCAACAAACTATAGACTGATGTCAAGCTTTGATGACCTCCTCATATCCTCATAAGTCAGCGAGAGAAGTTTCACTCTAATTGATGGTCTCTTAATTTCCTTGTGCGTAACAAATGATGATTAAAATTATCCTGTGAAGTTCATTATAAATGAGGCCTATTTTAGGCTGTTGCTCACAGCACACTCGTAAAGGGGAGAAAATAACACTTTGATTAACCGAGCAAGAAGAGATCCGTTAGGACAGACTATCAGAACAGAGGCAGGCAACATACTGAATGTGAGTCAGCAGGATTAAATCAGTATAGTAAATGTGTTCTTGAAGAAACAAGTGCTGTGATATTCTGGATTGTTAGCAGCACTACAATACATAAAAAGGTTTACACGCAAAAACATGAGTCTATATTTGACTGAGTGTATTGTACCTGGTGAACCGGTTCAATGTGATAAGTCAAACAGAGAGTGTGTGTGTGTGTGTGTGTGGTAAATATAAATCACCAAAAGACACATAGTTAGTCTCCTGTGTATCTAAAGTATTCTGTAACAAGCATCTGTGCAGCCTGCCGAGATGTGGATGAGCCACTCGTTAGCTCTTTAATAAGAACACACACATCATCAGTGCTCTGTGGCTGTGTTTCAGGTGTGTGAAGGGGGAAGGCGAGATAGAGAAGCTGCAGGCCAAGGTGGTGGAGCTGAGGAGGAAAGTGGACGACACGACGGCCGCCATGCAGGAGCTGGGCAGAGAGAACCAGTCGCTACAGGTCAGTCAGAAAGCCCTCGTACACTGAAGAGACGATTCTAAAACCTTATTCTGAGAGGCTCTGTTTGTAACCCCTGCATCTGGTGCTTTCTTAGATCAAACAGTCCCAAAGTCTGACCAGGAAGTGGGCTGAGGACCAAGAGGTGCAGAACTGCATGTCCTGTGGGAAGGGCTTCAGTGTGACTGTCAGGAAGGTGAGGAGGAAGCTATCTGTATGAGTGACGCTAACATGCGAAAGGACAAACATTAAACTTCTTGCATGTGATCATGACTTGAAACAGGGGAAATGGCGATCATATCAATAACATCATTTCAGTTTCTTTAGTTGTTACAATCTTTTAGATATACATCCTATGATTCCATCATTTTGAAACTTGTTTTTTAGCTTTAATTGCCAACTTGTAACAACTCCCTCTCCTTCTCCCCTGAATCTCCAGCACCACTGCAGACATTGTGGGAACATTTTCTGCAACGAGTGTTCAGCGAAGAACGCCCTCACGCCGTCCTCTAAAAAGCCAGTCCGGGTCTGTGAGACGTGCTTTGAGGATCTCCAATGATGATTCGCCTCTCCCCCCTTTACCTCCCCCAAACCCCCTTACCCTCCCCCTCTTACTTCAGCGGGCAGAAGAAGGCGTCTCTGTCATATTTAATGTGCACTATTGAGGACAGACCCTGGGCAGAGACTCCCACCAGTGTGTGACGTCTGGCTCTGGTGGGATAGGGAAACAACTGAGGAGACCCCAGAGCTGTGTGACTGGGGGGGGGGTAGGTTGGTTGGGATTGTCTGTATCGGTTTTTGTGCCTTTGCTACTCCTGTGGACTGCCAGAACGCGGAGACACTGAGAGCTTAACACCGCCCATCTCTTTAAGTTTGCATTCACATCTCCGCGGCTGTTTGGAATTATTAGAAAGTGCAGGGGGTCGCTGTGTTTGTCGTAGGGTGATTGACATCTGCCGTCAGGAGGCGGGACACTGAGGGAAGTGAAATGTTGTAGAGGAAGTGTTGAAAGTCACTGCTGCCCTACAAAGGTAAATGCAGGAAACTGAAAGACGGCTTTGTCAAGAAAATAACATCTGTAAATACCAAATATGACATATTTTAGTATAACTGCATCGCACCGATCACTAAGAAATGCAAAATTTGATGTTTTTTTTTTATGAAAGGTAAACTCAAGTTATCGGTACTAAATATTTTTTATTTGGGATTTTTTTCTTTTACGTGTCAATACACAAGTGTGTTATTTTATTGTTTTTTGAGGAACCTCATTTAAATGACCTCTAGGAAATCTTTGTTCTTGCGTTAACAGAATAACATGCTCAGTCAGTTGGCCCCTACACAACTCGTCCAAAAGTTGCTCATTTAATGTTTTCATTTAATGTTTCATGGACAGGATTTCATTAAAATGTAAGATGTTAAATGTCAAAATACACATTCTATTTTGCAAATTCACATTGGTATAGAGCAATGGTCCCCTTTTTAATAACATTGTGCTGTACAGTATAACGCATTCAATCATAATCTTTGGTATTATGAATGTTCAATTGTAAAAACTAAAACTGCTCTTCAGAAAAAAAAGGAATGAGTTGATTTATGCACCAGCGATTTCTCTGTACAGGACTTTTGACGTTGAATCAGTTACTGCATGTTCCCTTTGTTCGGCAGTGCGTGTGTGTTGTTTATTATTATTGATGTATTCAGCCGAATTCATGACCAAAGAATGTCTGCAGCAGGAAAACAGCGGAGATGAAAACCCTGAACTCGTTTCATGTCAGTATTTTTCTAAGCGTCTCTTAAGAAGCTTTGAGTTTTAAATGACGGGGTCCTACATTTGTATCTGGAAACAGCATGGATGACGACCTGAGAGGCTTTTTATGCGCAGCCACATTTCTCTTTGCGTGTTCATTTCTGCAAATGGTGGTGCTTTCTGCAGACTGTTAAAGCAGTCACTAAAGATGCCTGCATGTACATTTTAACATTTGATTATTTTTGCTGCTTGTCTCCACTGTGTGTGTGTGTGTGTGTGTGTGTGTGTGTGTGTGTGTGTGTGTGTGTGTGTGTGTGTGTGTGTGTGTGTGTGTGTGTGTGTGTGTGTGTGTGTGTGTGTGTTGCAGTTAACGCCTGCTGTGTGTTGCAGTTAACGCCTGCTGTGTGTGCGCGCGCTGCTGAGTTGCACTGTATGAACGTTGGCTGCTCAGAATCTCAGTATCTCTCATTCTGGGATGTCCGTGCTGCCTTCAGGTGCAGCGTTTTCCGTCGGTTCTCTGTCAAACCTATGTGCAGCTGAGGACACTGTAAAAGTAAATTCCAGATTTTGTATAATTTATAATTGTTGACAGATATTGGTAAGATCTTTTGTGCAATTGTCTAAAGACTGGAGCGGGCGAAAACACTGTAAGCCAGGCGACAATGGAGGCATTTTGCAACAAGCAGCTTGTCTCAGACTTAAGAAAATTAGCTATTTTTGCTAAGAAAAAAGACGTCCATCTCAGTTGCAAGCTCTCATGAACACCTGTCTCTTGTGTTGCATTGGTTTTTGTTATGTCTACCTCAGATCGGCACAGGAAAAGCACTATTTCTAAATCTTAGTGGTCACAAACATCACGTCATTGCCTGCATTTGATTAAAGATTTGTGATTTATCCGTCAAGCTGTACAGTCCTTTAGAGAGATGATTTGCACCTTATTGTATTCTGGGATCGTCCGTATGAGAACCCAGCCTCAAACGTAGGACCACCGACTTTATACAGGCTTCAGCATTTCTAGCCCTGATGTACTAAACCGCTCATTAATGCTAAGGCTGTCATAATTATCTGTGTACATGTTTGTAATGAAAGAGAAAAAGGAATATATATATATATATAACACTTGTGGATGTAGAACATGACAACAGTGAAAATGTTGGTGGATTCATCAGTGTCTTACTTTTTCTTTTCTTTTTTACATAAAGGCACCACAGTGTTGACACACTGACTTGTGGCTTGGTCTTGCTGTCAGTTTGCATGCATGGTGACTTCACTGGCTTGTGGCTCACATTTCCTCTGTGTTTAGAGTCATCATAAGTGATGGTTGTGAAGGTGTGCCTTAGGCCACGTCTCGTATGTCACTGCACACGGTTAGCGGTGACACGCACCATGTATTACACAGTCTGAAGGGATGAGGAATAATGTCATTTATGTTCACACGCACCAGTTGATTTTCTAATTCATCGTCATGACAAACATAAATAAAACCTAAAGTATGTTTCTATTTTCTCGTGTTGTTTTCATTCATAGACATTACTTTAATACTCATGATAAAAAAAGTATTTAATTATCAATATTTGTAAGCAGATAGTTTGTTTATGTCCAATGGTACATTTTCCAATTGGACTTTAAAGCACTTCTGTGAAATGCTACCCTACTCAGCATGTAGCATATAATCAAAGGTAAAAGAAAAAAATTGAAGTGTTTTTCATTTGTGAAGGTGATGTGTTCTTAAAAAGGAAAAACATGCAGACACCTTTTACTACATAATTTGATATTTATTGTAAACTACTGCAGCCGCTGCCTTTAAAGCCAGACATTCAATTTACAAAATGATCCTAGTGGTAATACGGTAATTTACAAGACGTCAGGAGACAGTGAAGTGCACATTGACAGTAGAGACATTTCCTATGTCTCAGATCTGTGAGGACTCCAGCCACAGGGCGGCGCTCTTCCCGCGCGGACGCTGAGAGTCCAGCTTCAGCAGCGCCTCCACAGCGCCCTCTATCTTCGACATCCAGGTTTTCTGCAGAAAATCACATGAAGGTGGTCATGAAAGGATTTTCCATCACGTTCCTAATCCGGGAGTTAGCAGCTATTTTAAGCTTTGATCATGTGAGAGCTCTGGAAACAAATAAGAGACCACTCCAGCATCATCTGTTTTGAATATCTATAGGTATGTGTTTGAGTAAAATGACTATTCTTTTATTTTATTCTATAAAATACTGACATTTCTTTGTGTTGGAATTCAACAGATAATTGAATTGAATGGCGCCACACATGCAGAGATTGATGATCATGTGCATACATCTGTAAAGTAGTATGAATCCCAGCATAGACATTTATAAAGCAAAAGACAAACTTGCAGACAAAAAAATGTATGCACATCTAAAGAAAATACATTTTCATAAAGGAACCCCCTGGCAGAAGCATATAAGGTAAATATAAATTACTCAGCAAGGGACAGTGGGTTTGCACAAATCCTTTAAACTTGCAAAAATGTCAAAAGATGACTTTTGTTTGTTCTCTGTGAAAGTTTAAAAGTGAAATCTGGCGTTACAGAAATGTATGTTAATATAAAACAAATCAACATATGAGGCTGTACATCTTTACAGAACATCAGAGGGATTCACAGCTGAAGGGATGTACCTTGGCAGCCTCGGAGGCAGCTTGCAGGATGAACGCTCCGATACACTGTTGGTAGCGGTTCTGGTGCATGATGATGAAAGAGTGAGGCAGCCCCGACGCTACAAAGGAAGCACAACATCGCAATTCTCCCGTTAATTTGGATTTAAACAACAACGGCTGTGCACACCGTCAGAGACGTCAATTCATTCAAACAGAAAGTGAACTTCTATTACTCGAGGCATTGAGCTGATCAACGTTCTTGAGCTGCAGCCGGTCCAGAGAGACGGGCTGGTCCAGGACCGTGAAGGTGCAGCCCTCCTTCAGGAGCTGGTCCAGCTCCAGGCTCTGAGGCAGCCTGAGGGGGTTCTGCTCCGGGCCCACGGACCGCTGCACAGGAAGTGATTCAAGTTACAACAAGCCTTACACTGGATATCTGTCCAGGTCAGACTGAGCAGGAGAACGCAGCACTACATTATCATTATATTTATTTAATCATTTTGTCCAGTCATGTGCTTTGTACAAACTCTTTTTTCCCAACAAAACAAAGAAACATGCCTTAGCGCAGTGCTACTCAAAGTGTGGTCCGTGGACCACTGGTGGTCCGTGAGTGTATTGGTAACATTTGAAATAAATAAATACATTTAAGTTTTCCGCACTCTTGCGGGAATATCTCCACAATGAAGCGAGCGGAAGTTTCACTTTGGATTGCATGATATAGCCCAGCGCAACACCTTCATCACACATGTTGCCACTTGTTTGTACCATTTTGAGACGATTTGTAATCTGTTCTAGAAAAACGATGTGATTTTGGATATTTGTGGAATTAGGTGGTCCGCGAGTGTTTTTGTATTGGTTAAGTGGTCCTTGGTATGAAAAAGTTTGAGAAACACTGCCTTAGCGTATGCCTAAAATAAATTGAGAATAATATTATTTTTGAATCAGGGTAATATTAAACAAATCTATTAGTAAACTGATAAATTAAAGATAAAATAAAAAAAATATATATTAAAAATCAGATTAAGGGAAGATAGGTATATACTATACTATGATAATAATATGATATCATCTATAATGAGAAAAAATGTTTAAGATAAAGAGTGAGATTAAAATCGATTGAAAAGCGTCGTACCTTCTTGTTTCTCTTTATCTTTGTGATCAGCAGGAATTCGTCAAACAGGAACAGATAAACATCGTGCAGCTTTGTGTTCTCTGGTGATCAAGCACAGAAAGATGACAGGAGTTAGATTGTTCCTAAACCGAGTCACTGAGCATGTGACGTGTTGGAGCGGTACCATCTGTACACACCTGTGAGCAGCATCTTCCCGTCGTGCAGGAGGCTTCTGTGAGAAATGAGATTCTCCAGAGTGACAGCCTTTAAGAGATGTTTCAGATTCTGAAGGATAAAAAAAAAGTATGTTCACCTTTTGAGACGTTATCCGATATCGAAAGTGCCGATACTAAAGTTATCGCTAATGACACACTGCATTGAAATGTGAATAGCTTTCTATGCTTTTCCTTATATCTGATGTCTAAGCTAGATTAATGATGTGATCATTTTCAAGTGTTGCTGCTCTGTCCCCACACACACACACACACACACACACACACACACACACACACACACACACACACACACACACACACACACACACACACACACACACACACACACACACACACACACACACACACACACACACACACACACACACACACACACACCTCAGGGACGAAGGCGCGCTTGTCTCTCTCCCACACAGGCAGCCACACGAGGGCGTCTCTCAGCTGTTTCACCTTCTGGTAGTTATCCAGCCATTTCACCTTTCCCTCCAAGTCACCTGGAAGCAGAGAGGCATCGGTTCAATCAAGAGGGACAGAAAGACACAAATCTCTCTTGCTGCTTTGAAATCATCATGTATTATGTATGCGTCACATTAATAACACACAATCACAAAGATAAATGCCTCTTTAGCACTACTTTATTATCTTGTTGTGCTTTCTTCAGTGTAGTGATGGTTGCCTACCAAACACGGGCGTGACCGTGTCGTAAGAGATTTCCGCACACTCTGATTTTACGGTAAATATTCCGCACACACCCAGAGGACATTGGTCGAGGCTACAATGCTCCTCGTCGTCTGTGCGGCTCGGCCTCGCCTTTTTAATGGTTTTATGTGATTGTGTAATCAAAGATCAGTGAATCCATGCCGTTTGTTTTTCTAGGGCTATTTGTTCAATGCCACAAAGTGCCTGTGAGGTGCAGTGCTACAGCACATTTCCCACAGCCTGTCCATCTAGTTACAGAGTAAACCAATACAACAGGTCTGTAAAAAAAAACAGACTCCTGGCAGCCAGCCAAAACGTGAAGCTCGTTTACTCATAAGTTCCCTTTTGTTTGACAGTGATACCCAGTGTACATCTATTTAACATGCTGCTGTATTTGACTGCTAAAGGCTTGTCAATCATCCGCCTGAAAAGAAAACTAGAGTCCTGATCACCTGAGTGACATAACTGCTGAGATGTCTAATGCTCAGAGAAATGCTCAGCTCGTCATCAGACGCTGAACAAAAACCTGTAAGTTATGAAACTAACCGAGCATCGACACCAGGGACGTGCACAGGTACGGGCTAATGTTACGCGGGCAACGGCCCGTTTGGCCTTTTTGGCTGACCTGCCCCCTCTTGAGAGAGCGAGAGTTTGTTTTTAAAACTGCATTAGAACAGAATTGTCCCCATTTTGTCTTTAATAGTTACTAACATTAGATATTTTTTATGAGATATGGACCAAATCAATTTACCGAATGCAAGTAGTCGCCTTAGCTTATTTTGTTATGAGAATTACTGTTCAATTTAGTTGATGTAATAATCGTTTGGTTTCTTTTACATTAAAAACAAGTTACAATTTTCTAAAAGGTCTTTTTATCGGGGGGAGGCCCTCTTTCCAGTTTAGAGCAATAGCCCCTCCAAATGTCTGTGCACGTCCCTGATCGACACTGTGCTGACTCACCCAGGGAGAGTCAGATAAGGCAGCGCTGACATGCTTAGTGGTGAAGAGCATCACTGTTTATGTAAATAATGGCATATGATGTACAGATTATCTTGGCCAGGATGAATGAGATTCACTATCTTATCTTGATAAAAGTCATTGAACACTAGACCATAGAGAAACAGCAGTCTTAAACAAGGTCATTGTAAATAATAAGTTCCCCCTGCATTCATTTCAAAAAGCAACATAGTTTTAGTTGTTCCATGTTTCATGATAACTCCTGTTGTATATTTCAGGCTCTATTATTAACTTCTCTACCATCAAAGCGAGTAGGAGAGTCTTCCTAAGTCACACGTTAGGATATTCATGATTCTCCCAATATTGGTAATTCACCACAATCAACTTTTTTTTTTTATCACGAACGTGGAGGGAAGCCTATAATGTCCCATTCATATTTCTCAGTATGGGTTTTTCAATGAGAGGGAAGTAACTTGGTGTGCTCACATATGGAAGTGTCCACTTGCTCTGCTATAACCTGCAGGCCTCTGGTCTCGTCCTCCATCTGGCATCTCTTGGCGATGTTCCTCAACAGCAGCGGGTACCGAGTCAGCCTCTGCAGCGGCGCCACCAACAGGTCGCGGAGCTGCAGCCTGCGGCACTGTTCGTTCCTCTCGCACCACTGGGGAGGAGAGAGAGAGGGAGAGGGTGAGAGGAGAGCTGTTGGTGGGCGAAAGAAGAAGGTCAGAGGGGTGAAAGAGTGGTCATAGTGTTTGTTAGAACAGAAGGGTAATTGGGGGGGGGATGGGCAGTGAAAAGCATGTGATATCTTAAAAGCAAAAACAAAAAGGCCTAACAAAGACATAAGCATGGGGACAGGGAAGGTTACAAAAGGGACACATGGTCACATTCCTGTCTCTGAGAGGCCTTGGTGACACAGTGAACTGGTTGTTTGCGGTTAAGGCCGTGATGAGTCGCTGCCTGCCGCGGTGTTAAGGTACATGGCGTCCCTGCCACTGCTCTGACACACACACACACATTCAGCTGCCCTGGGCGAGTTCCCCCTGTACCTTCACGTAGGATCCAAAGTCCTCTCGGGGCTTCAGGCTGTCCAGATAAAGCAGAGCCGTGGAGTAGTTGAGGCAGTACTTCTGCAGGCAGTGACAAACGCTCTCCTGGAAAGCCTGACAACAGATCGCAGTGTTACACAAACATCAGGAAACAGACTGCAGCAGGCATCGAGCTGCAGATAAACTCATCATAAAAAGATTTGATACCAGTCTGCAGTCGAGCACAGCATTTACCCTGTTTCTGAAATATAGCCGATTGCTGTGATACATAAATGTAACAGTTCGATGAAGAGCTTTTTATTTTTCTCCTTGATATTTGGAGCTGAGATATTCATTATAAAAAACACAATATTAAACTAATGCTCACACATTTGTTTTAAAGTGTGAAATGTTTTCTTTGTCTTATCAGTGGAGCTTTACACTGGAACCATTAAGTGAGCGTACAGTGACAGTCAGCTTGTGTGTGTCAGTGTGTGTCCACGTGTGACTGGGTAAGACTTGCCTTGCTCAGCAGCTCCAGCAGGGTGGGCCCGCCAGCCTCTGTGATCTCAAACGTGTCCTTGATGGCGCGGAGGAGGTTGTTCAGGAAACCAAAGCTCACCTGAGGCAGTAAACACTCAGTGTTAGGTGTCAGCACGCAGCCATGCAACACCCTGGTGCGTCACACACACTCAGTTTGTTTACAATATTAACACTATTTAAAAAAGGTCCCCTATTATACTGTTTTTCATCAATATATTGCTGGGTTTGGCTACAAATACCAAACAGATCATTGTAGCATCCCATAATCCCCTCTGTTTCAGCCCTGTTTTAAAAGTGCTGATTCTCTGTCTGTTACTTTAGATGAAAATAAGGAGCCACTCCCCACGCCCCTCTGAGAGATGTTTGGTTACAAAGAACACAATGGTGCTCTAGGAGGAGATTCAGGTGATAAGGTGGGGGGGGGGGGGGTTACCTTGGTTGGTTATTGGCTAATGGTTACACAAACAAAAAATCATTATGACATCATAAAGTGGCCAAAATCTGATCAGCTCATTTTCAGATAGGTTTTTATATAAATGGATCAGGACAAAAAGAGAGCCAATCTTTTTTCCTGAAACTTTCAGAATCTCTTTACACAGAGGGGACACATGTTTATGTATAAAAGACATGAAAAAGTGGATTTTGCATAATAGGAAACACTGCTTCTAATGACCAATATAAAAAAACAACAATCACAATTCAATCAGTAATGGTTAAAATGCTATGGCGTGAGGCGTCATACGAAAGTAAGGAGATTTTCGATTAAAAAACCCTCTCTAATAATTGATATGCTGTAATAAACATGGTTAATGAGTGATGATGAATGAATACAAAAATAAGTAGACAGTGACCAAACTCCTCAGTTTAATCTCTGGTACCACCAATAAGGAAACTATTTATGTTGTGAGATAAGATACTGTTTTAGACAGTATATTTATATATCTATAATAGTATAATTATATATAATAATAATAATATATATATATCTGTAAAGCGTCTTTGAGCACCTGTAAAAGCGCTAACAAATTAAATCTATTATTATTATTATTATATTTCATAGCTTTAGACACGTTGTTTCATTGTTTTATGAACGTTGTTTCTAAAGCTTTTGTATGATTTTAATTTAAATGACATTCATGATGTTTATGTTTGATTCTTTATTGCATGGCTAACTGTCCTATGCTTTTGGTATTGGTGCCTCTTTATAAATAATTTATATGTTGTATTGAGGTTAAGACAGAGTTACAATTTGCTGTCTTTTACATTCTGATTCAGCACAAGAAATGAGACTAAATGACAAATGCTCCCAATATTTATGTATAATAAACGTAAACTAACAGGACTTATGCTACGTATTAGCATGGTGTCTCACCAGGCAGAGCTCATTGAGGTTTGCAAACAGCCTCCAGGACTCGATGTCGGCCAGGCAGTTCGTCATCTGAAGGTTTGTGAGTGTAGCCAGAAACACCTGAAATCAACAAGAAGTCCAAAAGAGAATAGGCTCAGGCTATTAGATTTATAATCCATCAGTGTGAAGAATGGGAAACTAAAGAGACTTTTACATGAGCCTCCCTGTAAGGAATTTAGTGACAGAAACACAACACAAAGCAGCAGGTGTTTGGTTTCCTTTGGGTTGGGTCGATTTATTTGTGATCCTGTGTGTGTGCGCGTGCGTGTGCGTGTGCGTTTGCATTTGCGTGTGCATTTAGAGGTTTGTAGGGACAGTCACCTCTTTCAGAACCATGAGCTGATCCAGGAAGTAAACGCACTCGCTGGTGAAGAGTTCCAAGATGGCCTCTTGTCTTTTGAAGCGCTGAGGGTCAGAGGACGCGCTCACCTGGGAGGAATGGTCCTGCAGGAACTCTGCCAGAGAGTATTCCTGCACACGCAGTAGAAAGATTTTATTAAGAAAGACTGGAAAATGATCATTATATGTATTAGTGTGTTGGTATAAAAGGTCAACTGTGTCACTGTAAAGCTCCGACTACCACCCTGACACACTGCAGCGTGTGTCAGTGTTTGTTTACATTCACGTGCAGGGTCGACCTGACAGGTAACTGCCTAGATATTCTGGTTCTTGAACAACGTGACTCATCTAAAACGTTGCGGGTGCTTCCCTTTAACTGCTGTCCTGTTATTTCTGAGTCACTCGTTAAACACTGAGATCTATTTGGTTTGGAAATCTGGACCTTTAAGCCTAAACTCTGACTTTGCTTGCATTAGAATCCACTGCAAAGACAGAATCAACATGTTTATTTACATAACAAACAGCCTGGATGCTTAAGGGCTTTAGCTGCTGACAGTGCTCATTTCTCACCTTATACCTCTGCATGTCATGGTTCCTCCAGTCCTGAATCTGTGATGTTGACAGATAGTTTTCAATATCTGCTGCCGTGCCTGTCTTCGACTTTCCTTTAGTCTGAAAAATACACAGGTATTATATTAAATGAGTCTTCAAAACACTATGTCCAAAAACTGAACTTTGGTTTAAGTTCTGCATTTCAACTGTTAAACCTAACACAAAAGCTGAATAGAGGAACCACATTAATCTGCTTTGAGAAGTGGGTCAGGGAACAATGTCCAAACCAACTGCTCACTGCTAAAACAAAGTTCATTAAAAAAAAACACAAACACACAATTGGCAACAGCCACACACACACACATACTGTAACATCTAACAGAGAAGCAACACCCACCGTGCTTCGCCGCGAAAAGGGCCACTTTGACTTCTTTGTATCTGTACAAAATCATAAACATACGAAAAAAAGATTATAAACAAAACAGATCAAGCAGGAATATGTGCTGCTGTGCAACAGATGACAGGATTATAATGAGAAAAACTAAACCGTGTCGGGCTTTAGGGTTACAACTTTGGACTTTCTATGCAAATATAAGAGGTGGAATTAAAGACGAAGTGGCACAAAACACTCAGACAAACTATAATCTGATAAACCCGTTCAATCTGAGGCTAAGAACGGTTTCAGTGCTAATGCTCAGAGTCTCTAAATCAGCATCAAGCATGGAGGTGTTGCACATTATGGTTTTCTTGATGAAGGACTGCATTGGCATTCAAGACTTCTGATGGATTAAATAGAGAATTGGAGTTTGTTTAGGAACATTACAATGCAAATTGATAAAAGTTCTGAAGTGGTCAAGCATCATAGCTCATTGCTGAAAAACTAATGGGACACCAACTTTGGGCTTACAGCAGTCTTTTAACTAGAAAATATTACAGGACTGTGATTCAGGTTTTCTCAAGTCAAACCAGGTTACTCATCCTCCTAGGTGTCAAGGGTCAACACCTAGACTGTGAGGGTTTAGAAAAGCATCAAAATCAATTGATAATCAAACCTGTGATGATCACATGTTTGGATATTCAGAACAACTTGCGAGGATGGGTTACAGCATGATAGCTCATTTTGCAAGGGCCAGGTTTATAAATGTGATAAATGAGGTTGAAGAAGCATCGATGAACTTATACTGTAGGGTTAAATCAGCCGTTTGATTTGCATAGCACATATTATTAGCATTATTTATAAAACAATGTAGTATTATACCAGAGAATGAGTCGTTTAACATGTCAGCCGCTCCATTGGAAACAAAAAGGTCTCCTGGTGAAACGTCCGATCCGGGTAAGCTGACCACCACGGAGCTGCGCCTCCTCTCCTGAAGCCTGAGGGAACTGACAGACACGCCAAGATTAAAACCAGTAGTAACACTTAACATCTTCCAAACAGCATCCGATACTCAGTTACAAGAACTATCTTATTCTATTGTACATTAAATACAGCAAGATGGCCACAGGAAATAACAGAATTCCTCTTGGCATTTCACATGGTTCAAATACCTCCAAAATACCATCTGCATTGTGATGCAAAATGGTGATTAAAATGAGCAAGAGAACTTATCAGGGATAAAGTGTTATGTGTGTGGTTTATGCGCTATTAATGGCTCACTATATTTGGGTGGAAGGCAGCGAGCTGTCAGTGTGCCAGTTGTAATCCTCCTGGTCTCTTTTTCATAGTTAGTAACCAAAGCATGGCTGCGGCTGGAAAAACACAGACCTGCCTTTTACCCTCAGGCGAAGCTCGAGCAGCCACTGTTTTGACTTATACCCTGCTGTACTCCAGGGATTACTGCTAGATGTTAAATGGATGGGTGTTAACAAATAAAAACCCTTCTAAATGTAATTCAATGTTTTATTTTGTGCCGAGCCGACTAATAATCTTGACAGGGCATGGCCAACATGAACATTTTTATCTGTTAGGCCAATAAAAAAATTCTTAATGTAGTCAAACTTGATTGTTGACTGCGTGACTCAAACAATCACAATCCCAACTGTAGCTCTGCTAACAGGAGCTTTCTAGTCCTTCAGCGTGGCTGCAGTCAGCAGAAAAGGTCTGCACCGCAACAAGAAGAGCTGGTTTAGCCAAATCTTCACTTTCAGCCCGCCGATCGACAGCTGGCCACTGATCTGCGTCAACATGCTGACGTTTCACTTCTTTTTTTTTTTTTAGAGGGTTTGCCTTTAAAAAGAAAAGTTTAGAGTTTGGAAATTGATGGGGAAGGAGACATAGAAATACAAAAACTGAGTTATAATATCCAATTCAAACCATTGGTAGATTATTTACACAACGGCAATTATATCTGGGTTGATCAACTCAAAAGGTAAAGGTTATCAGGAAAGGATCAGACCATAAGGAAATCTGGCTCGAGATGCGGGCTAATGACCCTGTTTATAAAAACACACGGAAGTGGAGCAGAAGTAAAAGCAAGGGAACAACGCTGGTTCTGGTTTTTCTCAGTTAACCTTTAAATGTAAAATTTGCTTTATTAGACTGAATTACCGGTATCTCTTTGAAACTTTCTCTCTTACCACTCATAACATCCACTCACACAGTAGCTACAGTTGCATAAGAAGCAAACGAGACTAACTTGAATGCACATGTGTGCCACATGACTGACATGGGGACATGATGTGCTGGGAGGATAAGTTAGTCCGAACCCAAGCAGGAATACGGGAGTGTTATGTTTCTTTTTTCTCCAGGACACTTTTGTTGAATTTTCAAAGCACCAACTGTTTTCCTCACAATGACATCTTGTTGCTTTGTGACTGTTCAGAAAGCTTCCTGTGTCAGCCTCTCTGCCAACGAGAGCACTTTTAAAATTGTTGTTTTGTTCCTGTACAACAAGAGAAATAATTATGCTCAAAAACAAAACTGTCCCAGCCAATGGCTCGCGGGGCCCGGCACTGTAAGAAGCACAGTGCCAGGGAGCAATTAACGGGACAATAGCTGCCTAATTATCCAGTGAGGGGAAGGGCCCAGCAGCCCAATAGGAGGGGTGTGGGTGGCAGTGAGAGAAAACAGCCTTAATGAGGGTTTGTCTAGCCCGTACATAACCATGGGACTCTCAAAACGTAACCCACCAAGCTTATGCCCCATTAACAAAGACATGAATGACAATGAATGAACAATGGGGCTCCTTTAACCGAAGGTCCAATCATCCTCGCTCACGAGTGTCCTGAGAGCACATGGGAGGCCCTCATGATGCTGAGTGTTGTAGCACACGTTGTCCCAAATATTTTGGAAACAGCAGCGTTAACTATGGAAATTAGAGATGAATCAGAGAGATGGAAAAACAAACGTGAACACTAAAGTCCAGTGTATCAGTCACAGGAAATATATTTGACTACATTCCGGATATGCAAACATATTCTCATGGTTTTTTGGCGACAGGGCACACAGACGACATGCAAAGCAGTCCAAGAGACACCTACCTAGTGTGGCAGAGCTCTATCTCCTGCAAAAAAGAGGAAAACACCGCATCAGTCAATGGAAAACCATACACAAAAACATTGAGTAATTAACTTCTCCTTGAAGTTCCAGCAAAACAAGTTCTTATTTGATGTATTGCTCTGAAGTTTCCAAAGCTCTAATTATTAAACTATTTACATGCCCTAATTTTATCACTGTCTTACATTGCACTCAACATTTAATAGAGGGTGCAGAGACCTCCTATGGCCAACGATACCGCTGTATCACTTTCAAAGACATTCACATTTGAATCAGTGTTTTAAGTGGTCGCTTGAATTGAAAAGCCTCTGATATCTGAGGAGAATGTCGGGACTCTATTGAGAATGAGCTCGGTTGAATACCACGAGCTGATGAATAGATCTCCCCATTATCTTTTTCCATCGCTCACTGACCCCTCCATTATTGGGTGACTGCTGACTGCGGTGAATAGGGGCCCAAGGAGAGCACTTCCCAGGGTTCTCCAGGCAGTGGGCTTGGTCAGAGCTGTCAGTGCATGTAACTGCTGATTCATTTGCTGTCAAAAGCTTGCATTGTGAGTGACCACCACAGGAGGCAAGGCAGCATGAGGGAGAGAAGGTTTCCGCAAGGAAGGAATGTGTAACCATTTAATTTATAGGCTTTGGATAAAAAAACCTCACCAGACTAGAGCATGTGACTCGTGGTGGTGGTGGTGGGGAGATGTTTGCGTGATGATTAGGGCATCAAATGATTATATGTGCAGATATGTTTTAATTAAAGTCACTCAGACAACTTATAAAAACTCACCTGTGCTCCACTTTCAGGAAATCTAAAATCTTGCATCACAGTAGGATGAGCACTGCGACATTCTTGTATTTTACAAGTGATGCCGTTGTCAAAAGTCTTTGATCTGTGCGATCTTGTTCTCTGTCGCACTGAGGATGAGATGGGCTGAGGATCGGGATAGATCTCTCCATCAGAGAGGGGGCTGGCTGCGAGAGGAGACTTGACTCTGTGTACTGGAGACAGAGGGGTTGTGGGGGAAGGCTCCTCCTGAGTGCTCCCCATCATCATGACAGGGTCCCGGAAATCCGGTAGGATAGGACGTCGGGTGCTCCTCATCCTCCTCAAGGTGGGAGACGTGGAGATGCGTGCGGGGGCTTGTCGGTCAAACTGGAAGAGAGGTGCGACCAAGCCATCATTGTCCACCAGGGACGAATGTCTCAGCTTGGAGTGTGTCCGTGAGAGATCTATGTGCACTATGATTGGGCTGCTGGTCTGACACTCCTTGTGCTCAAATGTCCCACAGTCCGTTTGTGTCTCTGCGTTTGCCACACCTGTAGTGACAACTTCATTTTCAACCCACTCAATGTAACTCCAGTCCAGCTTCTTCTCAACGTCCTGGTCTTTATCCTGTATAATAACGTGCTGCAGCGTAGACATTATAACCTCAAAGGCATTGTAGTGTAAACGTGTGATCTGATGGTCGGGTTGGTCCGCCTCCACTGAGTTAAGGTCAGATGATAATCCTGTTGCATTCCAGCACTGTTCACACCATTCACTTCTCAGGCTTCTGGGGAGAAAAGTAAAAAATGTGTCAATACAATAAATGTGTTCAAGAAGGGTGGGCCCAACCAGCCTCCTAATATTCTGAAAGAGGATTTGAACAGTGTTAAAAATAGACAGTTGGCAGTAAAGTGGCCCATAGGAGATACAGTGTACAGTTTAGTAAACCTTAACACTCCTATGTGTGTGAATGTTGGCAAACCAAGTGAAGTAGATTCAGTTATTGGGGGGGGGGGGGTGAAATAGTGTTGCTACAGCACACATGTCACACAATGTACAGTAATTGCATAGTGTGGCATTGTGGTGTGTGAGACACACAGAACCAGGGGCAGCAATGCAATGTATTTCAACTCTGTTGTCTCGGAGTACTGTTTGTACACTGGTATTGATTTTCCCCTTTGGTAGCCGACTAAAGATGGCCCACGATAGTTTTTATTATCGTGTTTCCTACATATTAGGTTAATTTCAAGCCTTGCATGCTGTTAAGTCACATCCACGAAGCAACAAAGGTTAGAGAAACAATGTATGAGAAAGTTTACAGCACTAATCAACTGCTCTGAAAAACACCTGTGTGAAAGCAGAAGCAACATGTGCTCGGAAAACAGCTTGTTACATTTTAAGAAAGTCTGGTGTACTACTTACATATTCTGGGAAAGACTTGAACGACTCGAGGTGAAGTGACGAGTGACCGGGAGAGAAGTCCCGCCGCTGTCGGAGGCAAACTGAGCCGGCTCGGTATTAAACTCGCAGTTTGCAAAAGAAGAAGAAAGCCTCCGACGGTGTTTAGCTTTCTGACAGAACACACGAGCGAGGACACAGGTCCGTGTGCTGCTGACTGACGGAGGGAGGGAGGAGAGCACTGTCCGCGAGCTGGTGGAAAGGTGCGACTGCACTGCCTACATGGGACATCAATACACACACACGCGCGCACGCACGCACACTCTTTCTCTCTCTATCTCCCCAACCCATACAGAAACAGTAAGTATTTAATGGAACCTAATTACATATGAATATTTGGTAGGATTATTGAGAAATGTATTACCTATCACTTTATTGTTACACTTTATACGTTCAAAAATATCTTATTTTATGTCACTCTGATTAACAAAAACGTATTAAAATACAAGCAGTAGGAGCTTTAAGTGTCACCAGTAAAAGTAGGCCTACACAAATTATCCTCTTTAAATTAGTGAAATGGAGTAGCATAAGAGGAACAACATAAATTCAAGTAAAGTACCTCACAGTTTTATATAACTTTAATACAGACATATATGTTATTGATCCCAAATTGGGAAATTCTTTAATATACTTAGTTACTTTCCACCAAAGAGGCACTCTTTTATTTTGTATATCAATATTGTGGATTAAAGAGAGAATGACGTGTTGTATTTCTTTCTTGCATTCTTAATTATTTGTACTTACATTGTACAAAATGAATACAGAAAATGTAACTATAAAGTACAGTAATATGTTTGCTTAAAGGCAAGCATAAAGGCTGTACAGAGGTTATTTCCTGTGGAAGACATAAACCAAAGTGTGCCAAAATTAAATTATTTTACGGCATTAAAAAGGTCACTAGTAATCTGTAGATAGATAAAAGAGTAAGCTGTAAAAAATAAACACCTCCTTTAGCAACTCTAGAGCATTTATATGGTTCTCAGGAGTGAGTATTTCATAATGAAACACCCTTTGTTCCACTTCTCCTACAGTGTGTAATGTGTACCAAGTTTTTGTAATTTAAAATAATTTTGAATAACATTTTATTTAAAAGCAACAGGCTATAATCTCTCTGAAATTGATGAGTGTTTATTGGTATTTTCAATGTTGTGGATGAGCCCATTAGAGACACTATATTCCAGAGGAACAAGTATTTCGCACCACCAGTATGAAAATACTGTTACTGGTGCATTTGTTTGGATTTAACACAGCAAAATAACCTGTTGTTTCGTAAAGTGAGCACTAGAGAGCGACAAATGTCAAATTATGGGATCTCCTATGGCTGGATCTCTAGCGGCCCCTGCTGTGTGAATGTAGTTAGTACATAAAAAACCCGCCAACATCCTTCTGTAAAAGCCTCTGTCACTGTTTCCCTGCTGGCCATTTAGGCCACCTTCAGCCGTTCAAAGGATAGGGATAGGATCAGTTAAAATAAGATTAATGTTGTCACTTTCCTTCAGCCGACTCCACGTCTGTGTGCCATGAGCACACACTTGGCTATTACTTAGTTTTATGGCTCAAACTTTCAAAACCTGTTCAAAACAATCCACAAAAACATCCCAACGACTCATATTATCTTTGTAATCATTATAGTCTTTGTCAGTGGTGGAAGGAGTATTCAGATATTTTCCTTCAGTAAATGTACCTATAAAACAATATCAATATATACTCGGTTACAAGTTGTCCTGCATTCCAAACCTAGCCTGTGTAAATGTAGGGAATCAGATGCATGTACTTCTGCAGATATCCCCTTTTTAGAAATATTATAATTATTTACTACAATGGTTCCCAGCCTTAAGGCCGGACCCCTCCAGAGTGTCACAAGATAAATGTGAGGGATTTGGACTATTGATAGGAGTGGGGAAAAGCTCTGATATATAAGTTTGTAGGCTATGCATTCTTTAGATGTCTTTATTATTTCTTACCTTTTTTGTTTTTCTATTAAATATTTAGACTAGCCTATATAACAAATGTGGGGTCCCACTTTAGAAACATTGGACTTTTCTGCCTTGAACAGTTGATAAAATCACACATTCAGACACTATTTATGGTAGGGGGACATTGGCCCCTCAGTAAACAAAAAACAGATTCCATAAGAACAAAGGAAACTCATGTAATGCAGGATTGTGATCAAAGTCAATATATTTCACATACAATTATAATAAATGCTGCATGTTTCAGTAAGGTTATTTGGCTATAGCCTATGTATGTATTTTTAGAGCAATAACAAGTGCACACAATAAAACGTACTTATATATATAGTGAACCATGTCTTCTGCATTTGGCCACAAGTGCTCATCCACATCCTAATGTATGTCCTGTCATAGTAGGCTACAGCTGGGAGATAATCTTGTTGCATGCAGGCCCGCCCCTCCACGCAGATCACGCAGACTGCGTGGGGTCTCATCTCGCGGAGGGAGCCTCATCCGTAGCGCAAATGCGGCGCACCTTTATGCGCTTAAGCGAAGCGTGCCACAGTTTCGCCGCTGCGACGCTATTAGTAGAAGTAGTTTATTTGCATTATTGACATTAAAAACTGCTCTGGAGATGTTGTCATTCCTCCACAAAAGTGAGTTACAGGAACTATACCCAAATCTCTGGATTGCCCTCCGCATTGCAGTAACTCTTCCTGTTACAGTTGTAACATCTCAATGTCGCTTGGGGCCCCAAGTTGGCCAGGGACGGCCCTGGATGTGGTCATAGCATTGCAAATGTTGTGCCAAAGGCAAGCATTGTAAAATGATCCACATGTTATCCAACAGTTTGGAAAAAGAGAACTCACTATTGAGAAATGTTTGTCATAGGCTACATTAACAGGGCTTAGCGTGCAATATGTCAATAGGCTATCAAAACACATGTAGCATCACTAGTCTGTTAAGCAACCGTTATGCTACATTTATCTCCTGAAACAATACAGCTATAGGGACAAGTAAAGGTATATTTTAATGACTTTTTGGGGGGCCTACCCCGAATAAAAACAGAAACGTGTGATTGAGCGGAATTTGCTCAGAGCCTGACAGCAGCAGTCTCCTCCCCCTGAAGTGGATGTGAAGACGAGCACCCTCCGGTTTGCGTGACATACAGGAAGAAGTTAAATAAGTCTCAAAACACAGCGTTATCTTCAAAAAACGCCAACAGTTTTTTCTGCAGTTTCGCTCTTTTGACACTCGGTCGTCTTGCAGGATTGTAAATATTGAAGAATGATAGTGAATCTGAAGGCTGCTGCTGAACCAAAGCCCCTGTAACGTGCGGACTACTTCACCCGAAGAGAAGAAGCGCTAGGCGTTTCTAAATGGAGAAACCGGGACCTAACTAAATCGTTTGTTCAGTGAAACAAAATGTCAGAGCACAGGTCCAGTTTTCTTCACATTGGAGACATTGTGTCTCTTTACGCGGAGGGCTCGGTGAATGGCTTCATCAGTACTTTGGGGTATGTTCCTCCGCATCTCAATTTCTAGTCACTGGGGACTATGTATGGATTAATCCTCACACCTTTAATACTTTCACTTTGCATCTGTCACCACCTAAACTTCTCTCTGTGTACATACCGGTACATACGTTCCCTGCAAACTAACAAGTCAAAAGTTAAAGTGCGACTTGTGGCGGAGGCCTGTCAGGGAAAACTGCTGCTTCTCAGGAAACTTCACGTTTAGGCAAATGTAACAGGAATGCAAAGCAGCGTGTTGTCCAGGTACACTTGTGGTAATGGTTACACTCACATTTTAATTGGTTGTGGACCCCAAAGTAGGGGACCTAATGGGGTACCATGGGGGAACACTTTTTGTATTCATTTGAAGTTAGGAGAAAGAGGTTTGTTGCTCACTCCTCCTCACCTGCAGCTTTAAGTCATGTAGATCCTCAAATAACATACTTTATTTGAGACCTTTGCAGAAGCATTGTGTCTGTATGTGGGTTTAATGACGCTAAGAAAACACGAATGTTACACACCTCTTGAGGTGTCTTTGTGATCTTATTGTAGTGGAGCAGTCCAATTTTAAAAGGGATTGATTAAGAAGAGAGTGATTTGGAGTTTGCTCCATAATCATCCTTCATTGAAAGCATTGGTGACCAACCTGGGGTCACAAGATAAGTAATGGGGCAAGAAAGAAGAATATTTTAGACTCTATTTTTACTAATCTTTCATTTTGTGACATTCTCTGCAGTCAAATAATTGCTCACTGCTCATAGACATATTTTGATGACGGTTTCCAAGCACACCCCTTCACTTCAAACAATAAGAACTTAACGTGGCTTTGATAGTGATAGAGTTATTTTTCTTCTTTCAGTTGCCTGTATGTCATACTGTTAGTTGTCAGGTTGTGTGTAGGTGTGATGGAAGCTGCTTTCATTGTGTGTCGCAACACTTCAGTGCAAAAAAAGAAACATTCCACCAGCAGGCTGTGGTTATTCTTACTGAGCTGTGTCACCTAAGTTAAGGTGAAATACCTCACTGGTTCCCGGTGCACTCTGAACTCTTTGCCTGCAGAACCACCCTGAGGAATAAATGCGCCCCACCCACCTCCTTACTCTGTTCGCCACTCTTTTTTAAAACTTCCTTTTTAAATTTCTCTTAAAAACCTAAACTTCAGAACAGAGGTAATTATTTGAAGTTAAAACCTCTCTTTAATGCCATGCGCTTTGGAGGATCAAAACAAGCAGAGGTCTCAGGGAAGATGGCAGCTGAAACATGTGAGCAACTTTACAAACAACCTGTTTGTAAGCAACAATGTCCCCTGCCTCATTATCTGAGTGCACACAGCTATCCTACTTTAATTTGCTGAATGCGCTCTTAACAGTTAAGGCTTTTGCCTACCCAAATGCAAGCAGCACAGGGGCTATAAACTTCAAAAAGCGAACATGCACAGCGGTGATTGTTCACAGCTCATGTTGTTGTGAGGCAAAGCCGCCAAACTCTTATCAGCCTTTCAATAACTCATGTAGTGTGACAGGAGCACGGAGTATTTTATTAAGGGCTCACCAAGGCCCAGAGAGCGAGCGTCAGAGCGTGCAGGAACCACGGCCCCTGTGAGCACAATGTAACCTCGGCCTTACATGCCCTTATTTGCTTTGGATAACATTAAATCTGCTAGTTCCTCACACACCTAACAATGCAAACATTTGAAAGCTAAATTACCTTTTGACTTTCCTTTTGCGGTCATTTGGCAGAACCACAAGTGGACTTAAGTTAATTAGATCCATAATATGTTTTGTTTTATAGTAATCAATCTATTGACTTGAATATATAGATAAGAAATACATCATAAGACACAGATACAATACTTTTGCACACATTATCTAAGTGTAAACATTATTTCCCCATTAATTTAGATTAATTAATAAACTGTGAAATAATGGCAGGATACATTTAACGAGGAAGTGTGTGACTCAATTAGATCACTGGGCCACTATCAGCACGTTGAAACATGCAATAACTGGCATTGGTTGTGAAATCTCACACTTTTCTCACAGATTAGTAATTTCTCAGTTACCTATAGTTTTTCACTGGAAAACAATTGACAGAACAAACATCAGACCTGCTGCTCTGCAATATGCTTTATTTTCCGGGCCTTGTTGTCTCGACACAAGCAATATGCTAAAATTAGCTTCTCTGTGTCCAGCCTGCTATCATTGGTTCATGTTTAACTCGGTTATGGAGCAAACTCGAGTGCCACTGTCAAAGTCTCTCTGTTTGAACTAAAGCACAGCTCTCTGCATACTGAAGGTTACTTATTTATGAGCTCGAGGGACTTATCCAGAGTATTTCCTTCCTGTTTAGCTATTTAGCACTTGATTCTGCTTCCTGTTGGGCTCTATTGTGTCTCATTAAGATGTAACTCTGATATCGAGTCGGTGGAAATAGTACACGCCTGTGGATTGACACTGATCAAGTGCCGTGGCATAAAGGGCATAAACGGCTCAGCTCACTTCAGCGGGGCTGCCAACATTGTATGAATTGGAGGAATTGTGCATTGCATTATGTTTCAACCCAGTGGACGGGATGAATGGATGTGTTTGTGCACCTCGGCCTTTGGTGCAAAGGGGAGAAGTGGAATGGGATGATATGGGGTTTTGACAGAAATGTATAGTTTGTGTCATAGAATACACCACAGCAAGTTGAAGTTAATACTTTTCTGCAGTTTTAAAGTCACAGATGGCTTTCTACCAAAGCTTAAAAACTCCTCACCCTCACATAACTGCTTGTCCAAGCATGAATTAAACCGTACTCTAAAAAAAAAAGGTGTACTTTAACACCAGATTATCTCACTTTCACAGGTTGAGCCTTGTCTTGACATTTAAAAAAAAAAAAAAAAGATTTCCTGAAGGGTTACCCTCAGACCAAATGAAGCCTTAAATAAAACCTTTACTGAAAACAACACTCAGACTTAATCAATCATTTTGAAACATTTCTTTAGGTGTACAAAGTAAATGCACACCTCAGAAAATTCCCCCTGTGATCAATGCAATGTTTTAGGTATTCTCTTAGTGATCTCACTCGGTTTTCCATTGCTATTGTTTTGCCTGCTCTCACTGCTCCACTAAATAATGTGCTGCTTTTGTTGCACCTTCACCCCGAGTCTTCTCAGTGTGGACTATTAACATAGGTGCCTGAAATGGATTCTGTTTTACATGATTATTTTCACAAAGCCATTTTTAAACCAGGGTTTTATATTCCAGATAAAGACCTGGGAAACTGTCCAATACAAACCTGTCCTGTCCCACTGATGTATGATGTAATGAAACATATGAATGCATGTTTCTTTTATTTTACATGGATGAGGTAAATTGGCCTATACGAAAACCAAACACTTGGCACCTTCCCTTTCTTATGCAGCATACATTCCGGCCTGTCAGCTTTTCCAGTTTCTCTTGCTATCTGTAATCAGATTAAAACAGAATTCAGTCCAACGTGTGAATACCATCTACATGCAGTGCATTACTGAACCTGTCAATGAAACACCACTAGTCTGTACAATTGTCAGTCATAAGTAAAAAAACAAATAAGGCTAGGATGTGGGAAGCGTGGCAGTTAACTTGATGACATCACTCCCATGTCCTCTAATCAACCCTGCACAGAAACCACATGCATCCTCTGCAGCCCACTGCAGCGTAGACAAGCTGCATATAGCTTAGACTTTGTCTTAAATTTACAAAACATCTTGACTTTAAATGCTTATTTTACACACTGGCATGTTGATATCTAGTTTTGTTATCTATAATCAGTTAGGGTGGGGGGGGAAATTGATTATGGTAAGAATCAAGAATATTATCTTCTAAAATCAAATCTAATCATATCTTAAAGTAATTTTTTTTTACAAAAGAACCATATTGCTTTTGTTTGATAATAATGCTACAAACTAAGTCAAATTGAGCCCAGCATTATTGTGTGGGTATTTGTTGGAAAAAGTCAGCTAGCCTAAGCCTACCAATGTTATGCATGGTACAGGATGCACTTTATTTTTTGTATAACTTGAACCTGTTACTATTAAAGTCAACAATAATTTTGAAATACTACCACTTTTTCAGTACAAATTTGTGCAATTTTAGCAATAATTAACGTGTGTATTGACATTATGACAATCCGTTAAAGACTTAAAACAGTAAAAAGCTTGAATCTGCTTTCATGCCATAAGTTTTCCTTACTGCCTTTGTTCTCCCACACTGGACTGCAGTAGATCATGACATTAGCACCCCCATATACTGAATCAATAACCTATTTTGAATCCCGAATAGGTTTGAAACGTACTTGTAAGATACAGCAAGATTCACACACCTAATAATTAAATGTATTCGCTATCAGTCTGTTCCACTCTGCACTATGACAAACCCCAAGAGATACCAATCACTCAGTTTATGTCCTTACAACCTGTACACTGAGCAGACCCCTGCTGGGCTGCTAATCGGAGATCAGAGTCCTGTTAAATGAGAGGAGCTCGGTCCAGACACTGGGAGAGCTCTGGGAGAAGGATGTGAAGGCGAGCAGAGCCATTCCTCTTTCTTCTGCTGCCAGCTGAGCTTTTCATCCTGCAGGTGGCTGATCAACTGTAGAGCAAGCGTGGTTTCGACCTGCTTATTCAAATGTTCTGCTTTAATAGAAGTCCGGGACTCTGCTTTGTGTATTTGCATTTGACTGTGATACCACTATCAGACTACAGTGTATAGTACACACCTTTGTTTTCAAGGCGGGTGATTTACTGGCTAACGGAACCATTGCATACATGTTTGGATATGAATACATTATGCTGATTGAATGTTAAACTTCCTCTTCTCTGCAGGCTTGTTGATGACAGGTGTGTGGTCCAGCCTGATGCTGGAGACCTGGCCAACCCGCCCAAAAAGTTCAGAGGTGTGTACAAAAATACTAGTCACACTGGTTTTGAGGTTACATCCACAAACACACACACTCTTCAAGGCTGACCTGAAAGTTTGCCCTCAATGTACCACAATGTTGTTACACACAACATTGTGGTTTTAGAGAAGCTTGTATTTTTAAAAGCATGTCTAAATAACTCTGGTGGGTAAATAACCATTAACCTAAAACATGCTGCTTCACCACATTAAGACCCTTGAGTGCTGCTTAACCTGACCCACAGAGTGTGTGTGCCTGAATGCTTCGCCTCCCCTGCAGATTGCCTCTTCAAGGTGTGTCCCATGAACAGATACTCGGCCCAAAAGCAGTTTTGGAAGGCCAAACAAGGGAAACAAGGGAACAACAACACACAGGGAGACCTGTTTAAGAAGTTACAGGTAGATATTCATCAGTTTTGAAAAACATTTACATCTGATCTCCGTTTTCATTTGCAGACTAACACTTAAGTAAATCTCTGTGTCTGTCTGTGTACCCAGCATGCAGCAGAACTGGAGCAGAAGCAGAATGAGTCGGAGAACAAGAAGCTCCTTGGAGAAGTTGTGAAATACAGTAATGTCATCCAGGTACAGCTCCTCAGCAAAGATCTGCGCCGTCACACTGTCTTTAGTCCAGAGCCTTGTTTTGGTTTTCTTGTTTACTAAGGTTGTGTTACTGTCACCAAATCCCTGATACCTCAGTCAGTAAGTCCACAATGGCTGTATTTGCTGTGACTCATTGCTAAACTCTTGTTTTACGAGTTTATTTGAGAAAAGCAGCAACTTTAGTGCTAATGCAAAAATGCTTTCAAGGCAGTCTCCATTGTTCCTTCAACAAACAGGCTTTTTTCAATAGAGCATGTGTTAGTATTCCCTATATCTTAGCACCTGTTTGTTCAATGGAATAGGGCCATGTCATGTGTGATAAAACCCACACTTGAGGCCATGTCAAATAAAATATTGAAAAAGCTGTTTTAAATCAAACAAAACGTTACATTGAAGGTATAACATGCCTCTGTTTTTCCCAGAAAAGGAAATCTTCTCTTACACTTGTACATTTCACTTTGTACTTCCACTCTACTGCAATTCAGAGGGAAATAGTTTACTTTTGAATTGACTACAAGTATTTAATAGCTTTAATAGCTGTTACTACATATTGAAATATTTCCATTTAAAACACATGACAACTTTATAAAATATTGTGCTTTCTCATGGATTCAAACATACGGTATATTCAGTTAGAGCTGAAACAAGTAGTTGATAAATTGATTAATCTATTAGTTGATTGATAGTTGTACAAGTCAGTGTCAAACATTTCATAGTCCCAGCTTCTCAAATGTTAGTATATGCTGCTTTCCTCTAAATTGTTGAGATAATTCATATACTTATTTTTTAATATTTATTGAGGTTAGACAAAATACATTGTAGAGGTGTCACTTTACAGGGCTGTGGGTTAATGTAGTGGGAATAAAAAACAAACAAACAAATTAATACAAATTATACATTGAGAGTATAATCAAGTGAAAACTATCCATAAGGAAACAATATTTAGTTGGAGTCCCTATATAAATATGTCTTATTGCATGAGTAAGAATAATATAACAAATAAAAGTTGTATAAAGTGTTCATTTTAGTACTTTTGATACTTCTGAGATTACACGTTTCCTATTTTTACTTAGTGCAGGTTTGAACTCTTTATGCAGTTTTTCTACATTGTCGTATGAGTAATTCACTTAACGAGTTGAGTACTTCCTCCACCCCTATGTTGCAGTATGTAATCCCTTTGACTCTTCTGTCCCAGCTGCTGCACATTAAGAGCAATAAGTACCTGACGGTGAACAAGCGTCTCCCTGCTCTGCTGGAGAAGAACGCCATGCGGGTTTCTCTGGACACGGCCGGGAACGAGGGCTCCTGGTTCTACATCCAGCCCTTCTGGAAGCTCCGCAGCGAAGGAGATAATGTAGGCCCCCCCCCCCCCCCCCTTTTCACATTACTATAGACACAGAGTATTGTTCAACAACTTAACATTCCTCTCTGTTATAAGTAAAGCAGATGTCTGACTTTTTCATGCTGTCAGTTCGCTGTTCGTCCTGTCCCAGTAACATTTCTGATTTTGTCCTTCCTCCTTTGGCTTTAGCATCCTATGGTTAAAGGTATTGCTCCTGATTGTGCATGGTGTTTGTGCATTAGTCAGATACAGAATATCATGTAAACAGCATGGACGCACCAACCTTCCCATTGCATGTTAGACTCTTAGGATGAGCTTTAAAGCATCCAGTCGGTTGTTATTTGCTATCCACTGAACGCCACTGATCCTGCTTCGTGTTATTTAAAATGTTTTTAAATATTGCATGAGGCTGGTTAACATGAGATACTGTGTGGAGTCTTTTATAACTTGGATTTGGTAAGAGAGCATGTATTGTGTAACTGATGATACAATGACAGGCAGTGTACCTCTGTGTGCTGCATTCATGTCCTCTCAACACCGTATGATAAACTTGTTTGCTGTGAACTAGGGCTGGCAATAATTCAATATGATAGTTTATGGTCTTTTAATGGAATTGTAACGTGATGAAGTCATCCATCTAGCTATTGTGGTACACAATTATGTTGTCTAAATGAATAAATTGGACACATACTAACTCTATTGTAATAGACAATGATCTGAAATATTTTAAAGGAATGTCATTTTAAGATTTTAGTTATTAATAATTATTCATTAAACTTAACAATACTTATCAGTTCAATGTGATTACAAAAATGTCAATATACACGGTATAAATGTTAATTTAATTATATTTATTTTCAGAAAAAATTGGCTTGTTAATTTTGCCCATATTTTTTCATTAATTTAGAAGAAATACTCATCAATATATTTATTTGATTCCCATAAAACATGCTATATCTTGATGTATAGTATACTGTTATCATAGCATGACGATAAAAGATTTTTGCGATTCACTCATGTGAATCGCTCAGCCTGTTGCTGCTGCACATATCACCTTTTTGTTTTTTATTTTAAATCAGGGGATGTTTGCAGACTTTAGACAAGCCCCTTGCTTGCATGGTCACATTCTTACTTAGTCTATTTAAACACTTCTGGAAGTTTACCAGCCTGTGTCTCGTCCTGTGCTGCAATATGACCGCTGTCTCTCCTCGTGTTGAAGGTGGTGGTTGGAGACAAGGTGGTGCTGATGCCGGTGAACGCAGGGCAGCCTCTCCATGCCAGCAACATCGAGCTGCTGGACAACCTCGGCTGCAAAGAGGTGCGTCTGTTTTGTGTATTGTTTATATATGGGCTGAAACATAGTAGTCAGTTTTACCACAAAATACCAATTGCTTGTCTTGCTGCTGTAGTGAATCAACCTTTTTTTCCTTAAATGTTCACAAAATACAAAAATATGTCAAATTTAGCCAGGCCAAGTGTCAATACATCGGTGGTGGCTGGTGCATTTTTCTCGAGGGGGGGCTCTACCAAAATGTAAGTAAACTTATACACAAACTCAAAGCATACGTCATATTACAACGCAGGGCTAGCTCAAAGGCACACAGCACTTGATACAGTCTATTTTAGCCTGTTTTGGCCAACCTCCTTATTATGCTTACAGATCCCTATCCTGTAGCCCTCATTGGACAGCTGTGTTTACTTTCCTAAACATGGCTAGTCGCATAGCATCATCCATGTGGACTCTCGTTTGTTCATGCTTTTTAGTTTTTTCTGATATGTGCTTTAAAGGTGGGGTAGGTAATTTTGGAGAAAAAAGCTTGAGTGCGCTCGAATTTGAAAATACACAGTCGGAAGAAATCTGCTACTTCCTTACAGAGCCCCTCCTCCAACACACACAAACGCGCACATGACCAATGAGGGCATGAGATAAGTTTGTGCACAGGTGGAAGGCTGACAGGCAGGTAGGCCATCCAGTTATTTTAGCCGGGCCGGCTATGGATTTGTTATCAAAGCACTTAAGATATTCATTGCTATCGGGATGTTAAGAGCATTCCAAGGAATATAACAAAAAGTGTATCTCGAGCCGGTTTCTCAAACTTACCTACCCCACCTTTAAGTCACTCACATCCGTCTGGATCCATGCTGGGTCTGGTCCATAGACTGGTCTGACCCTGACGCTTAAAAAGGGAGGCAGGGAAAGCAAAATATAGCACTGGTGTTGCTACAGGTAGTTAGCCCAGCCTTCTTGCTAAACCAGATCCTTGAAAAAGAGCAGATATACTGCCTTCCTCTGTCCTTAACTCCTGCCTATGTCAGGCGGATCAGGTCCGAGCTCTTTTACTCTCAGCTTTCCTTCCACTGTCCTCCTCTCAAAGAGTGTTTCTTTAATCTGGACCCCGAGTCTGTAATAATAATAAAGTTTTCATTTAAGTGATGAAACATCATTGTCCTTCTCCATCTTCGCTATCTAGTTTTGTTTACACTCCCTCTCCATCTAACTCTCTCTCATTCAAACGTCAATCACTCACTCTGGCGGTGTAAACAGCTGCTTGGGGCGCAGTTTGGTGTGCGCCCCGAGGTGCTCCTATCACTTATATTGAAGAGGACTGCGCATGCACCACTTATAAGGAGAGTCAATGGGTAAAGATTTCTGCGCCCCAAGCAGGAAATACGTGACTTATCAGTAACTTTAGACCTCATAAAACCATATAACCACCGTATATAATATGTACCTTGTTCATTAAAAAATGTTTTTATAAAATAAAAAATCTAGAATGTGGGAAGAGGTGTGTCGGTGCCCCTAGCCACTGCAAAACATCAAAACAAATAATAAACACACTGTACCCAAATGGGTTGTAATGTTATGGGAAAAAGACAGAGCAATCAAACTATTCTTAAAGTACAAATAAAGAAAAATAAATGTAGAATTAACTAAACTTAGATACAAGTATAAGCAGGGAACTGAACAAATCAAAGCAGTTTTGCTCGTTAAACTATATACAGTGTTGTGGTCTTCATGATTCATGATTCAATAAACTCAATAAAAAAAGACAGCTTAAGTTATCTAAATAGTTGTTAATATTATTACATTTTATACAGTCGTAGTTCCTAAACTGGTTGAAACTCGTTAAACATTTGTTTTTTGCAGGGATTTCAACAGCTGTGTGTGTGATAAACATCTTCATTTCATGCTGTGTTTTCCTCATGCTCCAGGTGAATGCTGTAAACTGTAACACCAGCTGGAAGGTCACCTTGTTCATGAAGTTCAGCGACTACAGAGAAGATGTGTTAAAGGGGGTGTGTTGTTTCATCATTTTTACATCTGTTTCCTCATATTTTTTGAAGCAGACCAGCATAAACTCTGCTCAATCATTTTTCAACCTTCTCATGTTTTGCTTTTGTCCACCGTCAGGGAGACGTGGTGAGGCTTTTTCACGCCGAGCAGGAGAAGTTTCTCACCGGTGACGAGTACAAGACGCAGCAGCACGTCTTCCTAAGGACAACCCTGCGGCAGTCTGCCACCTCCGCCACCAGCTCCAAGGCTCTCTGGGAGATCGAGGTGAAACACAAACACAGGAATTAACAACATGTGCTTTGTATATATCTTTGAAATGTCAAGTCATGTTGGAGTTTGAGTAACAATCAGACATAATAATAAAAATGACCCTGCTTAAGCGGAAGTTGAGATTAACATACATTTTAATAGGAGCATTTCCTAATTATTTAGGATGCAATTTCCTCTTGGATAATACATACTGTCTGCCTTTTTTAAGCCTCTAGTTCCTTGTCATTTACTGTCTATTGTACTGTGTGTTCCTCTTTATCAGCTTGCACTAGTGTGAGTTGAAGTTCCTGTTGTCCCTTTACTGTGTGTGCCAGTATCAACTTATGTTACCATATCAGTTGTTGACGTGACGTTGCGCCAGCATGACAAACTAAAATTCCTGTTGTACATTGCACAAAGGGACTTTTAGTCTGATTTACCATAGTGACAGAATTAACTGGATCCCATAAGGTTTGTAACCTTTTCTAACTCAATTAAAACAATATAATAACAAAAATATGAAATCCTCCAACTGCTGTTGAACAAATCCTATCCTATAAGGAGCTTTTCTGTGTGCTGACCAAAACCAGAAACTTAATAAGCAGTGTTTTACACTAAATATGACAGACAATACAACACATACTGCAGTAACAAAGAAAACTTCATAGACATACAGCAAAATCTGATGTTCCTAGCTGCATAACTATCATTTGTTGTGTTCCCATGCCAGGTTGTGCACTATGACCCCTGCAGAGGTGGAGCCGGCCAGTGGAACAGCCTCTTCCGCTTCAAACACCTGGCGACTGGGAATTACCTCGCAGCTGAGGTGAATTCAAAAATGTTTTAGCCCATTAAATGACGTAGCTGCATCTTGCTTTTATTTACTCAGAGAACCATTAGAGAGCAGCCTGTCTCAGTCCTTTTTTGAACTGAGAGGCTCGACATTGCATTTAAAAAGATTTCAGGTGGTGTGGTGTGCTGTAGGTGGCAGTATTCCCATTTGATATTGCTCCTATCACCCATCTTCTGTTGGATAGTTTGGATCTAGGGTGATGGGGATGATAATGGCAGGATAATCGTCAGTGTTTTCTATATTTGAGGTCACATAATCACCCCTTAATTTCTCTGCAGGCGAACCCTGAATTCAAAGACAACACGGTGGAGCCCAAAGGAGAGGTGAGTCAGTCGAACAAGCACATTCAGCTGCAAAGTCACAAACACAGTCTCACCCTGGCTGCGACTAACAGATTGTGTACATTATTAATGGGTCGGATTGACTGAAAAAGAGAGTGATCTAGTGACCACAAGGGATTACTCCAGTGTTTTAGTGGAAAGATCAATTATCTCAGCGCTTAAGCATTGTCCGTCCAACTTCTTTGTCTCCTCATTCTTTGGTTATGCAATAGCAGCAGTTCTCTGACACTAACAAACAAACTCTGGATCTATATCTAGAAATGTCTTTCAGCTCTCAGCTACCTTGCACATTTGTATTCTGGCAGTGCGAGGAACACTCGCACAAACTCTGCCAGCCTCGCACACTTTCTCATGCGCATGCTGAATTTCAGACACACAGGGGGCTCCTTACATAACGTCTGGGTGTGGGGGTGCCCTGCGAGAGGGGATGGAGGGGAGGCAGACGTGCTGTCTGCTCCGCTCCACTCGCCTGTGCTAAGCTGGTGGGGTGAGTCACCAGCAGAGGAGGGGGTTAGGAAGAGGGAGGGGAGTGGGAGGATGGAGAAGCTGAGGTGTGGAGGCAGCTCTAGGGAGCTTCCCATTGACATGCAGAGAACAGTGGGAGAAATTAACCCTTGCCATTATGTGCTGCATCTGCAATGCACTAACTGTAGCAGCCTCCGTACCGCAGTGTCTAACACCACACACAGGAGGCTCTCTGGCTGCCGCTCGTGTAATTTGATACCTCATTAGTGTTAGAAGCTGTGACGGTTTAGTTTGGCTCACATCCGTGCGTTCTCAATTATAGATCTTATCAACAGTTGGGCTCATTTATCAGAGTTTATGTGTGGAAAGATATGTTAACTTGGAAGAAAACATGTTTATGCTTCGCCTTGAATGCACTTACTAATACTAAACATAACAAGTGTCATTTGAATTAGGCTGTTGAATTTAGCAAACAATACAATTTATGAACAAATGTAAAATGTGTGCGTGCAGATATACATTTTGACCCATTACTGCTGGGCACGAAAACCACAATAGGTGTTATCCTGCTGTGCAAACTGCCTTTAGCACTACACTATTAATCATTAGCGGACAGTAGGACATTTTAAGTTATTGTAACACTCCACTATAATATCCTGTGTAGTTTTCATTGTTGATGCCATAGTGTAAAATTATTTACCAAATATTGTTGCAGCTATACAAATTAGAAAATGTGCCTTTTTTCTGTACCTTTTTTATTAGAAATGGGGTTATTCTGATCTATCATTTTGTCCGTAAAATATCAGAACATGCGAGTTTCCAAAGTCTAAATGTGGCTATATAGTTTGTTTTACTCAACCAACACTAAAAAAAAAAAGATATTCAATCTACTATCAAATATGACCAATCAGTACATTTGATAGGCTTGAACCAGTCAATGATTAGATTTCAGACAAAAAGTTTGCCTAATTTTCCCTTCCCTTTAATTAACCATTGATTATTTGTACATACATTTTTTATTTACAAATAAGCAAAATAAGCAATTTCATACACAAAGTAAATTCAGGCTCTAAAAGGTTTTTTTTATTATAGAGACCTCATAATCATAACAATGAATCAATGAAGAACAGCTTACATTATATTCTATGATCAAAGAAATGTCATGTATGTATGTATGTATGTATGTATGTGCGTGCCTGCCCAAAGTAAGATATATTGACATGCAACAGTTACAACACACTCATGCGAACACTTTCTGCATGCAGTTTTTTCTTTATAGCCTTGAAAATGGACTGAGTATTTAGTGCTATATGTTTAAAGATTGTCAGCGGAGAATATAATCCACTGTGTCAGACATTGATGAAGGATTTAACTGTCTTTGCCATTCAAGCTTTAAACTACAGATGCTAATTTCTACTGTGTGTGTGTTTTGCAGAATGAGACAGACACTTTGTTCTCTAAGAGGAAGCACCAAGCAGCAGAGAAGATTGCTTTCACCCTGGTTTCTGTTCCCCATGGGAACGACATTGCCTCTCTGTTTGAGCTGGATGCTACCACTCTGCAGCGAGCCGACTGTCTGGTGCCCAGGTCAGTCACTCACATGGGGGGGCAACGGCAACAACAACAGGTTACATCTGATGTTGTTTTATCCACAGGGGGCATTTTTCACCACACTTCACACAACATTTTCATTTTTTGATTCCAATCCAAAATAAACCAACACTTGGTCCTGGAAATGTTCACAAATAATTGGACCTGGAATAGAAGCTAGTGGGAGTTTCTTATTTAATTTGCATGATATACGCACCATACACACGCAAAGATTATCATTTTAAAATCAAGTTATAATGAACCTGACTATGATGTTTAGCAGGCATAATGTATTCCATGTATTCCATTTTCATATTAGTTTAGCGTGTTAGCAGGCTAACATAAGCTTGCTAATTTCAGCTGAGGCTGCTGGGCTACTTTTGAAGTTATTCGGTCATAAATAACAATAATGTTTTTTGGACACGTTTGAATTTTGACTTGATGTTTTGTTTTGGTAAAACATCATATGAACAGTTATGTTTTTAGGGTTAGGGTTAGGGACAATTTTATCCTGAGGATAACATAAGTATCTGGGCCAAATCTCATGACAATTCCATAGTTGCAAAGATATTTATGTCCTCATCAAACGACATGACAAAAATGCCATGCCTCAAGACATGCTAGCAGCTAATTGACACTTGATACTTGTTAGTTCAAGTACAGCAGCAAGCATACAATAAACTTAAAATGAATGTGGTGTTAATGGTTGGTCCCATCTTTCCCCAGAAACTCATATGTGAGACTAAGGCACCTGTGCACCAACACCTGGGTGACGAGCACCAACGTCCCCATCGATGCAGAGGAGGAGCGTCCGGTCATGCTCAAGGTATACACCTTTCCACATTTATTGTTGACATGAATGTTTAGTGTTTCTTTTTCTTTTTGTTTTGTTATAACGCCTTGTGCGGAATGCTTTGGCAAAGTGTAATATGTGGGCATGCCATTAAAGCCCCTTTGTATTGTATTGTTTTTGTCTGATATAACAATAAATACAACTTTATTAGCTATCAAGCTATGAAATATGTTTTGCGGCTCCAGACATTTTTTTTTTTTTGAAAGAGGAGCAAAATGGCTCTTTTGGTCAAAAAGGTTGCAGACTCCTGCTCTAGTAGGACAGTAGGGTATAATGAGTTCTTTAAGGTAAGATGGCGCCTGCCCATTAAGGGCTTTGTAGGCGAGAAGAAGAATTAAAAATTCTATCCTGTGTCCTATAGGGAGCCAGTGTAAGGCAGCCAGAACAGGAGTAATGTGGTCCCTTTTCCTAACTCTGGTTAGGAAAAGGGACCACCCCCCCAATATAAACCAAAACATATTTCATAGGTGCCATTATTATAAGAGTATTGCTTTTTTGTGCTGTCTCGCTTCATTGTAGGATTTCTGCCAAAGAAATGTCTTTACTTTAGTTTGACCATCTCTGTTATGAAGTTATGGAATACTAAATAAATAAGTAATTAGATACCTTACCGTCACTGCGCTCATAAAGAATGACAAGAATAAGAATAATGCGTATTGAATTGGTTTCATTAATTAGTGAGTTTATTTAAAGTTATTATAGAAGCCCTATTTTATCAGTATGTCTGCACAGCAGTTACAATGGGCAAACTACATTCAAACAGGATTGTCCCCATTTTTTCTTTAATAGTTACTAACATTAGATATTTTAATGAGATATGGACCGCAAAACAAAAAGTGTGCCTGAATGACGAGTTTAGCAGTTGGACATAAAAGTCAACTGAGTGTCACTTGCAATTACAGTGTTTTATTTTATGAACCTTTTACATTAAAAACAAGTTAGAATTTTCAAAAGGTTTTATGTTTTTTTTGGGGACGGGCCCTTTTTCCAGTTTAGAGCCTCCTCCAAATGTTTGTGCACGTCCCTGACAAAGAGTGTAAGCATTTTGACAAAGAGACCTCTTGGAACCTCTGCAGTATCTCACACGTATAAGGCTGTTGTAGGTGGGAGAAAGCTGCCTCGTTTGGGAGGCTTAAAGATCTATCACTGAGTATATATTCATGAATTCACCCTTCTAAAACCCTAAGTTTGGTATGAAGTGATGCAGAGCTGGGTGGGAACCTGCATCTCAGACACACGACCATCCAACACTAAACATAGAAGTTTAGCCTTCTTTCATTCTTATTATGGCAGCCTTAGCGCTCGCACCATATATCAAGGCTGAGTCCACTGTTCAGTTGAGGACTATCACTTTAAAATATACAGAAATACTTGTGAAATGTCAAAAAAAAGGAACTTGAATCTATGGATCTAAGGTCCACAGCAACCTTTTCTGACATAAATGACATTTTTCCAGTTCAGGGCTACGGCACAGCTAATTATATACGCATTTACAAAAGGCCAGGAAAACACGCAAGTCCAGTTGTTATATCACACTAAATACTATATTTCTGTTCACATAAATAGAAAAAGAAACCCTTATTAATGATTGACTCTTGCTTATTAAATCCTAATAGACTATTGCTCTCCAGTTTATGGACCCCACCTCTCACAGCAGCTTCAGCTTCAGCTTAAGAGATATAATACTGTAATTTCCAGTGTATACCATTACATTTACAATTACTGCCATTATGTAATGATGTATACTGAATACCTACTGAACATTATCTACAAACTTATCATGAAGAGCTGTCAGTTATTTGCTGCAACCCATCCGTCTTCATTGTCTCCATTAAAAAACAGTAAATGCTTTACCAAGAGCATAGTATCTGAACAGCTTATTCTGTTATTGTTCAGATGTTAGTCTAAGTAAGTGTAGCAGTAAATGATCAGAGAGCTGTCAGTTGCATGTCATCTTGAAGGTCTATATATGCACCGACAGTGTTACTCAAAAATATTTTCTTTGTACACTGTGTTCTGGCATTACCACAGAACATCTTAAACAAATATATAACAGGTGTCCAACAGTGTTTGTAGTAAACTGGCTGCTGTCTGGACATTTGAAATCAATCATCTGTAAAGTACACTGTGTCTGCTTCTTTTTTCTACTGGCTGTAATGCTATGGTAATAAGATTCTGGGGAATTCAAAGATATATATTACTGATAAATGTTGAGTATAGCCGGATTTAGAAAAATGTAACAGAAAATGTTTTGTGGCATTTACCTGCCCAAAGTTTAAAATAAATGCCTGCGTAATTAAAATGTGACATGTATTTAGCATGAAACACATCTAAATATTATACGTTCTTCTCAATTTAATTTTGCACACGCCTTGTAATCAATGGTTCATACTGTATATTACAGTTTTAGGAAAAATGTGAGATATAGCAGCTAAAAACACTTTGCTGATGGGGAGTATCCTTTAGAACAGTGGTTACCAACCTTTTTCCCAAGAGCCCCCCCAAATGACTCCTGTTGGAAGTTGCACTCCCCCCCCCCCCCCCACACACACTTACACACAAGGAGGGGAAAAACGCAAACTAACCCAATTCTATTTCAAAAAAGTCTTCCGTCCACACGCAATAGGCACCAGAAACGTATCCGTTCACACGAGACCGCTCGAAAGAGGTGGAGACGCTGTAGTAGCCTGTAAGTGGCGCTGTACTTCTGCCACAAAATACACCAAAAGCAGCGAAGAAGACTTCCCGCGCATGGTTGCCATGGTTGCCCTTCTCGTGTGGCTGCAGCATAAGACATACCTGTAATGATGATATCAATAAATAAATAGTGATGAAACATTTGTAAAATAAAATGTAAAGCCTAGTCATTTCATTATTATATTTTGTACCTTGAATAAGTGCCTTGATTTTCTTTAGGGTTGCATAAGGTTTGTGTTGAGTCATCGTGCACTTCAGTGATAGACCCCTGTGAGTGAAACCTTTTGAACTTCCCATGGGAAATCATTTAGAGTGAGGATTTGTTGTAAGGGGAGCCCAGCCTTGTGGGGTTCCAATATCTGAGCCGATTCTCTGTTTTACAATAGCAACTTATATTAAAATAGACGTAGTTTGACTCAATTTGCAATGAAATGTAATGTGTCTTATTCAGAAATGCCAACAAGTCTTTCATGTTTAATACTTAACGTAAGGATGAATTGATACATGTAAAAATAATCAGCAGATTAATCGATAATGTCCACAATTGTATTTTTGTACCAATACATGGATTTGTTATATAATATCTACATGACGGCGAAACAAGCAGCCTCTCTTAAAAGCAACCTGCTATTCTCATACGTTGGTCAACCTAAAAATAAGCATATTGTACAGTAGGAAAATGTTGCTTTCACGGCATAGAGGGACATTTTCAAATGGCTATGCCACAAAGTTCTCAAACTACCAGTGTTTGACTTTATGCAACAATGGTATCAACTGCTGCCAAAACACATTTAGGAATAGTCTGTTTGGGTCACTGACCAGACTGCAACAGTACTAGCTATAAATACATTATATTTAAGACCCTTTAGACCCTTGAACTGAAAAAACCACCGTAAAGTCTTGAAAGAAATCAGCTTCTGCAAATGATGTATCGCATCGATACACACACACACATTTTTTACACAGGGAACCAAACAAAAAAACAGCTTAGTGCCAATTATGGTGGCATGGGCCACTGCACATACAAACACATACAAACAAACACACACACACACACACACACACACACACACACACACACACACACACACACACACACACACACACACACACACACACACACACACACACACACACACACACACACACACCAGCGGGACAAACAAAGAGAAATGTGTCTTACCCAAAAGGCCTCCCAGCAGGTAGACTGAGGTGGACAGTTGGACCATGCTCTTGAACATAAGTTCCTGACTCCAAAGTGCTTTAATCTCAGCACAGTATGTAAACACACACACAGGGCCAGCAACGCACACAACACTGGTGTCTGCAACTCTTCAGTCTGTGTTCGGTGGGTCAAACATGGGTTATCTGGCTTTAGGTCTTCATTTCATTGTTGAGCATCGTGAACATTCCAGCAGACAGATCTTGGTTTTTGTGGCTCTTGTACTTCTGTTGCTCCCTGATGTTCACTGAAACAAGAGACAAAACCAGTCAGGCGCAAGGGTAACACAATAAGCAAATGATAGAACTGATGGATTCAAAAGTTGGCAGTCCACCCCACTGATGAATTCAAGCCTGAACATTTCTTATATTAAAAAGGAACAACGGCAAACTCCTAAAAGTTTGGTTTTATGCACTTGGGGGGGTTCTCAGTCTGCAGCAATCATAATGGCTCTGTAAGGCAGTACTGTACTGCACAGTGGTGCTTTATATTAAAAGTATTTATTTTAAAGGCTATATCGGCATATTAAATATATGATACTGTATATCTTCTACAACATATTGAAAGGTGAATTCTGTAAATGAAAATAAAAAATCACCTATCTTAAATGTTATCAACCGATTAAATCTGCGTTATGAATAGTTATCTTCACCATACTACTGCGTCAGACGGACCAAAAATATCCTATAAAGCTAGTGAAAGCTAAAAAATGTATTCAGATGTTGGCAACAGAACTACAATGTTAGGTTTTGGTGGGAAAAGTACTCAGTCCTGAGCCGTGACAACACTTGCATCCATACAAACTCATCTTCAAAATACCTCCATGCCAATATCAGTCACGACAAGGGTGTGAGGACATTTGGAAAGATGCAGATGAATCACTGTGTGTGAGATCCTTTCTATAGATACTTCCTAGTGAGGCGCTCTTACACTATAGTGAGACTGTCATATTATCTTTCTATTTGTTTTCAGCTGATATCTACTGTACATCTGCACAGTACAATCTCAGCATTCCTGGTAAATCGTAATCCCTGATCCAAGAAAGGCCCAACCTTGTAATTAGTAACCCGAAATTCTACATTTGTAATTAAATATTTCAACTAAGAATTTACCTAACCTAAGTCTCATGTATGTTCTCAGTATACTTTGAATTTCAGTGTTTCAGTGGACCATAGAGGCAACAACACAAACTGGAAATCATTCAAGGCCTTGGTGTCCATTCAAACGTGGCACATGACTAATTAAACTAGGCAATCTTCAAAGCGCCAGTGCAGATACTTACATGTAACTCAACTGAGCACAGACAGCTTCCTTCCTTACAGTCACTTCTTCTCAGTTATGATTTTGTAGCATAAGATCTAGTTGCAGTTCTGAGGAGTGCAGCCTCACTGGCACATCTTAAACTCTGACCTACTTTCGGGCACTATCTTCACATATATGGTTAAACAACACCCCCCTAATTTATACAAAATGTCTGCCCTATCCCCTCCAAAATATGGATTTGCACCGACTGACCAACTATAAGGTCATTTAAGATGTAACTCTTGAGCTCAGTGCAACTTCACAGCAGGCAGCATCATGAAGACCATCAAGATAAAAGGCAAATGTATCAAGTTCCCACCTTCAGAGAGCTTGTCCTTTCTGGGATCTTTTGGAGGCTGTGGTTTGTGGTTTCTTACTGGAGTGTGTGACATATTAAAGGTGTTTCCAATATGCTTCTATCCCCGTTGAGCAGAATATTAGAAGGCACAGGCATTCCCCACATGATTCAGAGACTTACAGAGCAACACACCCATCGCTTTCCTACTGTTTAAAAACAAGTTTGAATCTCAAGTAAAATCCAGCAACGCTCAGGAATGCTTCTCATGTTTTAGCAGAAAACACACAGGAGGAAGGCTATATATTCACTGGTTAATGTTAATGATTTGGAAAACTCACTTAAAAAATGTAAGCTAAATTAAAAGACCTCCCTCCTCTTCTTTTTCTAATACCCCCCAACTTCATCTATCTTTTGTCAAACTCTTCCCAGCTCTCCACAGTTTCACTTAAGTCTTTGTGGCAGGCAGCCAATGTGTAGGGATCAAGAAATGACTAAATCCAACTGTTGGGTCTAATTACATCCTGTGTGGACATCTCACGAAGAATTGGAGAAAGCTATAGTTGTTGGAAAATAACAATAAATTACAACATTTTGAAAAAGGCTTTACGCAGGCAGTGTGTCAGGCTGAGCTGAAGTGCTCAATTTAGAAAAATAAGAAAACTAGAAAGCACCAATCTGCAACCGAAGGCTAAAGAAGGTGCAATTTATCTGAATGAATCACAAGGCATGTTGGGTACAGCAGAGAGGATGGAGGCAAAGTAGTTATAGTAGGCTAGTTAGCATGGATCTGAATATGTCAAGGTTGTTGTTTTTTTGTTAAAGAGGGGGTGGGGGATGCTAAACTCAGGGAATCGAACGTGTGTTTATGTGTGCATAAATCTGACTACTCTCCAATAGAGTGCCACAGTGATGTGTCCTAAAACCCGGAAGTAAACTCCTTCCGGTTCCTTCGACAAAAACCAAAGCAATTTCTCCATAGGATTTTGGAAAATAGATCGAAATAAGGTCTGTGGTTGAAACAAATTGAAGAGTTATAAATTATAAAAGTAGGGTAGACAAGTGGATAATATCCGGCTGAACAAAACGTGATCTGTCTCTTCAATTTGTGTCAACCACTCTATGGTAGATCCGCTCAGTCCACCCAAGGGATTCAACTCTGGAATATTGAGCGGGTATGACTGTATATTGCCTTGTCCTCAATAACATATCATTTGAATGTCTTTATTATTAGGCAAGGCAAGTCAAGGCAAGTCAAGTCAAGTCAAGTCAAGTCAAGGCAAGGCAAGGCAAGGCAAGGCAAGGCAAGGCAAGGCAAGGCAAGGCAAGGCAAGTTTATATAGCACCTTTCAACACAAGGCAATAGAAAGTGCTTGACAAAAAATGAAAGACATTAAGAAAATGGCATTTAAAAATCAGTCATTAAAAAGAAAAGATAATAAAATAAACATTAAAAAAAACACATGGATAAAATGTACAGTGCAGTTCAAGATGTGAATAGTTCAATTAAAAGCAGCAACAAAAAGAAAAGTCTTCAGCCTGGATTTAAAAGTAGTCAGAGTTGCAGCGGACCTGCAGGTTTCTGGGAGTTTGTTCCAGATATTTGGAGCATAATAACTGAACGCTGCTTTACCATGTTTAGTTCTGACTCTGGGGACAGAAAGCTGACCAGTCACTGAAGACCTGAGAGATCTGAATGGTTCATAATTTAGCAGGAGGTCAGAAATGTATTTTGGGCCTAAACCATTCAAAGCTTTATAAACCAGCAGCAGTATTTTGAAATCTATTCTTTGACACACAGGAAGCCAGTGTAAAGAACAGGTTATGATCACGATTAGTTTATTGCACCATATATTAGTGTTTTTCCCAGTGTTTTCCTTTGACTTTGTGCACTTTCAGAGCTTTTTTCACAACTTAACCTTAACCTAACTTTCTGTTCACAAAAATGTTCAAAAAGGGGTAACCACAAAGCGATATTTAACTGAAAATACTAGGGAAATGTTTACTCAGAATTTTTCTTCCACACTTGCCCCTGCTAACATCTCAGTAAATGAGCTAGTAGATCATTTTAATTCAAAAATAACAAATGTTATAGATGCCATTAATGCTCCAATTAAGGTAAAGGAAGTGACTGGGAAGAAAATATATCCATGGAGAAAGGCCATGACCGTGAGAACAGAAAAAAGAGAGTGNTTAATCATCTCAAAGGGTCTGAATATCTCTAAGGTTGTGGTGACTGATGTTGCACTCTCTGACCATTCCTGTGTTTTTTTTGAGAGCTCTATTTCTGTTCACAAAAATGTTCAAAAAGGGGTAACCACAAAGCGATATTTAACTGAAAATACTAGGGAAATGTTTACTCAGAATTTTTCTTCCACACTTGCCCCTGCTAACATCTCAGTAAATGAGCTAGTAGATCATTTTAATTCAAAAATAACAAATGTTATAGATGCCATTGCTCCAACTAAGGTAAAGGAAGTGACTGGGAAGAAAATATCTCCATGGAGAAAGGCCATGACCGTGAGAACAGAAAAAAGAGAGTGTCGAAAAGCTGAACGTAGGTGGCGAAAAACAAATCTCCAGGTTAACTTTGAAATCTATAAAGAGAGACTTGGCCTTTATATCAAATTTGGAATTGTAAAACGCACAACAGTCTTTCTTCTCTGACATCATTACCAAAAACAAAAACAATGCACGTGCCTTGTTTGCTACCGTCGACAGATTAACTAACCCCCCAGTGTCAGTAGCCTCTGAATTTCTATCCACCAGGGCATGCAATGATTTTGCCTCCTTCTTCACGGACACAATTCAGAAAATCAGACAAGCAGTCAGTGCCTCTGCATCAGCGCCCTGAAAACTGCAGTCATTAAACCGCTCTTAAAGAAGAATAATCTAGGTGCTTCAGTAATGAACAATTACAGGCCCATATCAAACCTTACATTTCTAGGTAAAATCATTGAAAAAGTTGTTTTTCAACAGTTGAGTAATTTCTTGCATTCAAATTACTGTTTCGATGTGTTCCAGTCAGGCTTTCGTCCAAACCACAGCACTGAGACTGCTCTTGTAAAGGTCTTCAATGACATCCACTTAAACACAGACAGTGGCAGAGCTTCAGTGTTAGTATTATTAGATCTCAGTGCTGCGTTTGACACTGTTGACCACAACATATTACTAAACCAACTAGAAAACTGGGTGGGACTTTCGGAAACAGTTCTAAATTGGTTTGAATCCTACTTAATGGGACACAATACTAACTTGACCAGACACATAACCCAACTGTCATGACACGTTAGCCTCAAGCTTAACATCTGGCACCCACAATGCAATGATGCATAGAAACAAAGCTGCATCTTTAAGATGCCTTCACTGTATGAAAAGTACAGGGTTGGTGAATTATTGCCTTGACAAGTGTACACTGTATGACCATAGTCCTGCAGAATTATGCAACATTTAGTGGCTGGGGGGAGCAGAGGTGTCATAATTTTTACTGGGAGCACCAGATCATTTTAACACCTGTGGCTTTATTTAGTATTACTGAGCCGCCAACAGTCTAAAATCCTGCCAACCTTGACCTTATCCATCCAACATTGCATGTCTAATCCACTTCCTAGTTCTAAACCTGACCCTGACCCCAGCTGAAATATCTGCTTCATTTGTTGCATACCCTGGAAAAATGCTCATTTAGACCCGTTTACATGAGGACGAAACGGGTTGTATCTGCATAGTTACTAACTGACAGGCCTGCATATGTACTACAGCGTTTCCAGCGGTCTCGTGCGGACACGTTAAATGAATCGAATGCGTGTGAACGGAATACTTTTTTGAAAACGCATATGGTGCGTAAACGCAAACGTTCCCGTGTAAATGGGGTCTTAACTCCAATAGAAAATCAACATTAAAGTGGACCTATTATGCTATATTTGAAACATATATTGTAGGGCCATACCTATATAAAACATGCCTGTGAAGTTTTTTTTTCAAAATACCAAACAGATCATGCATTTTAGCCATGCCGTCCCCTTTAAATTATAGTTGGAAAATCAGTGATTTCCCCTCTTCTAAAGCCAAAACGCGATTACAACATCAATGTGTAAGAAAACACTTATTTGATGAATAATTTTGATAATTTATTCAGTTGTAAAAAGCACAGCATTTTTTACAAGACCACAGAGTTCTACAGAGATCTAGAATTTGCTCTGAAAGTGCACAAAGTCAAAGGAAAACACAGAGAAACACTAATAGCCTATTGATCAGTGTGAAGGTATGTCTTTATAGTTTATAGTATAGTTTATAGTTGCACTGGCATATCAAATGTCATAAATGTGGACGTGTATAGGCTGTGTCCTTCAAAAAAGAAGATAAGCAAATCCAATGCAGAGCAGTTCCAAAAGTCAAATTGGTTTTGGTGGTGTAATGTGCATGCGTTACAGGCTCAACCTGTGCCGTTTATATCGGGTCATACATTAGATAATTGTGGCCGGGATATATTGCGTTATCTCTTTGTGGCCATTCCGGTCCGGGTTGCGTATTGCATATCGGACAAATAATTAGAGTACAGAAAGCAAGGGGGTGGGAGGATCACCTGGTGATGTGTTTCACAAAAAACACTGGAAAGGGTGATTCTTTTTAGACCTATATTAGATTATTTGTTTTCCTTACAACAATTATGTGTTTTTATTACTCTGTCATTGTGTTTAGGGAAAATTGTTCTTGTTGTAGCCTATACAATTGCAGTATCCCGTTTTATATGTGTCTTTAAAAACGGTTGTTTCTATGCATAAAAGTTGTAGTGGTGGCCATCCAAGAGCTTTTTTCACAGTTTGCTTTTAAAAAAAAAAAGTTTAACAGAGCTTTAAATATGTTGGTGTCGTTTAAATCGGTTTCCAATGTGAACTTTTTATTCCTTATCAATTATTTGAAGATGTTGATTGAAGGTCCACATTTCACCGGGATTTAGGCCTACTGGCAGTCAGATGGGAAATGTGGTTGAGGTTTCTAAGTGAGGCTGCAAAAAGACAAAGCGCTTTTTTAAAGCACAATGTATTGTAGAGGATGGATGTTTTTATAGGAAACCGTCTAAATGTGAAGATTTTGAGCTCCTTTTTTGAGGGGCAATGGTAAATTTGTATACGAATTTTTAACGGGAAAATGTTAACTGACTCTGGACAAATGAGCTTGTTGGAAAGCGTGAAGTAGGCCTGCCTTTGATTGCATGAAGTATAGTCTCACTTTAGGGAATAGGTCCTTCTATTAATTTAACCTCAGTTCTACTCTGGAAACCGTGTTGCCCAGTCTTTACATTTACGCTTTATTAGCCGCCTCTGATACTGATCTAATTGTTACCTGATCTGATTGTCACCTGTTTCAGCTCTTTAAATGTTGGTCTATCAGTCATTTCAACGAGCCGCACAACTCCAAATTGTGAAACCTGCACTCTTTTCCTCCAACGTTCTCTCTCGGTGTATTGGAATTGTTTGACGCGGGTGTTTATTCTTGCGGTCCTCTGATTGTAAGGCAGTGGGATCATAGTTTAAGCTCTCATTTTGTCCTTCATGGTCTATATAGCTTCAGGAAACTCTATTAAGTGGCTGCTGGTCGCACAACTCTCTGCAGGCTCTGCAACACGGTTTATTTCACCAGTGGAACCATATCATCACCTAAATGGAAAGCCGTTTGTAATAAAACATTAACGCACCTAACGAAAGTGAAAGTACCTTCTGCTGCACAAGTAAAGGCTACCAGCTCCCTGCACCAGACACAAAATCTCACGTGTGAGAGCAAGAGGAAAATAAAAATGTAGAACCAGGAGTGCACACACTCACACACATATGGCTACACACGCACCTGAAGAGTCCCTCTTGTTCCAGCTCCCTTGATGCGCAAAAGCAATATCCGCTCAGTGTTGGCACGTTGTAAAAAGCTCTTGATAAATGAGAAGAAAAGCCAAGCCGGTAGGCATCCAATCATAAATGTGCCATAAGAGTGAGGAAGGGAAGTCCTTAAGTTGCTCCGTCCATCCACGCAGTTGGGGTGCGCTCTGTCTGTGTGTGCCGTAATGTGCGCAACGGGCTGACCTGTAGCTCCTTCCAATCAATTCAAACTGCACACACACGCATAAATACAGCCTACCTTCAAAATAAAAGCAGCTCGGAGCCTCTCTCCAGCTGTTTGCGGTCCACCCTCATCGCCATCACTCTCTGTTGCTGTCCGCCCCTAAAATAATCACCTTCTCTTTATCAGAGCTGAATTACACCAACAGTTAATCGCATTTACATACGTAAAAGACCCTAAACTTAAACAAAAACACCTTTTCAAAAACAAGTTTTTCCAGTTGCCCATTTTATTTAATCAAATGAATGTAAATTGTCAATTTAAAATTATGAACTTTATTTTCAAATTAAATCTATAAAACACAAGATGCAGTTCATCAAAGGTTCTGGCTGGGTCACTGTTGCAAACTTAATTGAAGAAATCTGATTCAAGTGTTTGAGACTCCAATGTCATTGTCCTACCATGTGTTGCATTTTCCAACAATGACCCTAGCCTTAACCTGTTGTGTGTGTTTACTTACCCAACCTTCACCATAACCTTCATACCTGTCCCTGCATCCTGCATGAGTATCCAATTGTTATGGCAATGGCAGTTAACTTGTTGTGGAGAGCCTTTTATCTTCAGCTGTCACACTCAATTCTTTCTTTACAGTGTAGGCTATGATGTGACTTCACAACCTTCACGAATCAGTAACACAGGGTCCGTCTCGTATCAAGGCTTAACATTTGTTGCATACGTTGTCCCTTTGTTTTATTTTGAAAGTTGAGTTTTAACCGGAACTGTTATTTCACATCTAGCTTGACGGTAGAGTGTATGCGCTAAACGGCCGTGCCGGTTCTAACAGATAACAGACGATAGTATATCTCCTGTAGCTCGTCCTTTCTTCTGCAGCCCACATGTTTTTCATTCGCTTTACAGCCGTTGTACAACTATTCCCAACAAGCAGCAAAGCACCGGGATCGTTATTATATGCTACCCATCTTAATCCATCTGTTTTTTTAAAGAAACGTAGGGCTCAATTTCTTGTTTTTAAAACCTGTAAAGGTTTTATCATAATGGCTTGATTCCAACCTGAACTAGGGAACAAATCTAGATCCACAAATGCCTATGGAAAGGACAAGGAAGGGCAAATGAGGACTGTGGACTCCCAAAAACTGGACAAATTAGTTAAGAAAAAAAAATCTGGCAAAAGACGATTCAAAGACTAAGAATGGCTTTCAAAACTCCATGCGTAATTGGTTCTCATTTTTGCGTTACAACGCGTTTAAAGTGCTGCTTTTAGCCATGAAATTGCGTTCCCATGTAGTAGGAGAACATGAGATAAAACACCGAGAGAATGGCATCTGTCCTTGAAGGGCCTGTCGCCACGGCCCTACGCGTCGCGGTCCACTTCTGTTCTTTACGCGCTGGAAGATGATTTGCTACATATGCTAACAACAGCCCATTCTCAGGGGGTCGTTTTGGGCTGTGAACTGGGGGCATAATCTATCCGTCTATCTATCTTTGGATATACATTATTATATTTATCATCACTAAATGCACACCTATTGAGGATATCCGGCTGACTCTGAGCATACTTGGTGGGTTGGAGGGATGTTATTTCATTATCATAGACCGAAGCCAGATCACACCAAAACGTTTAGAGCCAAACCTCCACCACAACCGCATGTGTCGCTCCAGACTGACTGATGAGCTCAGAGGGGAAAGCCCGCAGCAGAGCAGGGGCATGGTCACTTTGTTTAAGTAGGCCTATTTCCATTTAGTCATATATCTGAATGGTCATAATTGAAGAAGGAGCTGCTCAAGGAAAGCATAAAAAGCAACTGCAATAATAATCTTGAATGGAATAAGTAAGATTGTTCAATATGTTTTCAATGGTGACACTTTCTAAAAAGACAGCCTTTATGAGGGTTTATATAATGAAGGTATTGTAATTAATGGCTTCATTTACAGCTAATAAAACATCATTAGGGTTTACTTTGTAGTTTAATGGTTAGATAAACAGTGCCCATTACCCTAATATGCAACACTTTGGTTTCTTTAAAACTTAAAGTGTTTAATTTGTCTAACAGACTGGCTGTGAGCCTCTCCGCTCACACAGGGTTAAAAAAGGGACGGAAGGAGAAGGGTTTGGGTGCAAAACAGGGGTTTATTGTCCAACCAAAAACACAAACGTTGCCCGTGCGGGATCTTTCACGGGTCCTTTTGCGGCCAACAACGTCCTTCCAGAATCCAGCCTATACTGCAAGACAGACCAGAACCAGGTTACCAGGCCTACTTTTATTCAGTGACTGATTACCTGATTCTGATCATCAGCTGTCTGCCATCATCTGTGGCTGCAGCCCCGTGGGCCTTTCTTATTTATCTAATTGTCATTATCAAGACTATGTCTGTTGAGATTTGATGGGATATATGTCCTCACTTGTATGTGGTACTGTACTGTTCCATGTGATGTGCAATGTTGTGCTTGTGCCACAGTGAGGCGCAAGGACAAGGGGTATAGGATGCATGCCTGCCTCCTATAGGCTAATCACAGCTCTTGATTGCCACGTGTGTGTGGAACCAGTTCATTCCAGTGGAGGCTGTCCCCGTGAGAGTGATGCGTGCAGCCCTTATAATAAAATATTGCGAATCAAGACGTCGAATTGCAACGTAAGGCGCTCTTTTTGTGCCTCTACAATTAGGTAAATCGG